TGGGGTACACTGTCGAAAGCCTTGGCAAAATCTAGGTAAATATTGTCGATATTACCACCCCGTTCCAGAATATGGGTCCAAATATCCAATACCTTGAGCAATTGTGTTAAGCAGGAGCGCCCCGGCATAAAACCGTGTTGGCAATCTTTTACAAGGTTGTTTCGTATTAGATGTTCCATTGCGGCATCTATGATAATACTCTCAAGTACTTTACATATTATGCTACAGGGATGACCAAAACTTAAAATTTACCCAATATAGCCTGTCTCGAATCTGAGCATCCACATACTTATGGTAGTTAAAGTAAAATTTTACCCATTAATTAATATAAATGATGATGCATCCCAATGCATTCTCAAAACAAAGTCCAGACAATGACATTACTTCTAAATTGACCCGTACCTCCATCTAGTACTGGTATACTCCGTAAATGCACTGGAAAAAGGGAACGTCTATCAGGTAAAAATACATGACAGCTGAGCTGGTGTGAACATGGGAGTTTTTAAAGTCCTTGAGCTGCTTTTCACTGCACATTTCTAAGTCCATGACTTAGACCATAAAAAACACCTAAAACTTACCAGAACGTGGCATTTAGGGTCTGCTGGGAAACTGGTGACGCCATTGCAAATGGCAGCCCTGTTTCTAGAGAAATAAACGTATTTCGACTATTATAGCAGGATTTTAAACTTTTATTGCAAATTATATATACTTTATCACTCCACGAATGTGGCAGAGTGTGTTTCTTGTGTTTACCCAGAACCGATAACCCGTCCATTGTTCGATACCTGTTCTCTTGTATAATCAATGTCCGCGCACTCACCGGTTATCACTCCACGCATTCCTGAAATACCTGAGTTGTATCTTTATCTGTTTATGTTTGTGTTTTGACTAAATATACAGTTTACAATTAATGCAATTGCCCTTAAAGCGTGGTAAAATAAATAAATAAATAAATAAATATATATATATATATATATATATATATATATATATATATATATATATATATATATATATATATATATATATATATACACAGTATATATATATGCAAGTAAATCACTTTAGTTGCGCGTGATCCAGGTATATGCTGATATGCCAAAGGTACAGAGAAATTGAGATACACAAGACGAATTATTATAGATAAATTGCTGTGTAATAGGCAGTTAGGTCACACAACTTCTTCACCAGCCCGTCACTCCATCAGTCACTCTTCCCCACTCCTTTTTCTCTTACCTCCTATCGTCTTATCACCCTCTCCAACCAACTCAGTCACTTCCTTTCTCACTCACCCCCATCCACCCACCCCCTCATCTCTCTCTCACTCTCTCTCTTGCTTATGGGGGTAACGAAGCGTGAACATATGAGCCGTGATCTATTTTCCACACAGAGGCGGACAGGAATCCTCTGGCATTGTTTCATCCTAAGACCGAAAAAAAAATAGTTAAATAATATAGAGAATTAAGGGAAACCTCTTGAAGGGGATTACCTGAAGATTAGCTCAGTTTATTTTTCTGGACGATTGAATACCCTAGGGGTAAGGTTAGGTTAGGGTAGCATTAGTATGGTTTATCAGTGAAGTAAGCTTAGTGCCTAATATTCAGGTGATGTATTTAAGGATATTATTGTGTAAAAAAAATCTTTCAATTGTGAAAACTACACTCACGAAATGAATATGTAAATCTTACATAAAAAGACTAAATGGCGAAACACTTTTAATCCGAGTTTAATTTATTTTCGCTGAGAAGTAAAAAAATTGCCATTATCACCTTTTGCTAAACTCTTACGAACCAGTCAGATACACATAGAACAAAGGCAAAGTTATAATGATATATATCTACCTACCTTCATCTTCCTCTGGCTATGTTGAATAATAAATTGGCTAAAACACGTCAAGGAGAATCCAATCAAAAATTTTATACAAGAGAGACGCTGGGCTATACCTTCCCACGCACTCCTTGTGTTGGCGTGAGGCGGAGTGTTCTGATGAAGCGGTCATTCTGGGCCTTGTGGGCGCGCTGCATTAGATGCGAGGTATACTGATAACTGGCCAAATAACACGGGTGCCGCCACGCCACGTCTGACACAAGCATGCATCATGCATGACCGACCGACCGAGTGAGTGAGTACGATCATTTTGCTGTGAGGTATGATTCTCTCTCTCTCTCTTTTGTTGCATGTGTTTACCGTGATATTTGCCGAAAGACTATAATTTCGAGTTTTTCCTTGTGAGTGAAATAAGGACATGGATGTACAATGACATCGCTGTAAGTACTTTTTGTTGAGTCTGTATCGTGAATGATTTTATACTTCGTTTTGACTGCTATAATCTTACTTTAACTATAGAATATTTATGACTGTTGTCTAATTTATAGTGAAGATGGAGAATCGAAAAGGAGACTACAAGGTATTCCCTAGAGCCTTGGCCGTTTATGTGATGCAAAATTGTGGTTCGGAAGTTTTTTTTTTTTTTAGCATGAAATCAATAAAGTCCACCAGCAGTATCACAAAGTGGTCTTTCTGGGGCAAATGGAAAATCTGAATCTTGAAGTAGGCTTAAATATGCCAGATAGAGAACTAATGGCCACACATATTGATGATTGATGAAGATGTTTTGATTAACGTAGAACCACCAGTAACACCCAAAGCATATGACGACTATGCAAAAGAAGCGCTTAATACCTTATATTGAATCGTTTTTCGTAATGGCTTAAAGACAGAAACAAGGATGAAACTAAGGGTTACTGATAGAGGCAGACCTCCCAAGACCTGGGATGCCCGGGTGGGCTAATCCCCGTAAAAAAAAAAAACATTGTGTGCCTATTAATGTTACGAAATCGTCATGTGTGCCCGTGATAAGCGAGGTACCACAAGGCATTGTACTGGGCATGTCGTTGTTCGTTTGTTTCATAAATGTTATGCCAGATACTAAACGCTTCTCCAGTCACATGCTTGCGGACTACACTTAAGTTATTCAGGGAAATTCAAAACCAAACGGGCCTACAGGCGGGCAAGGAGTGACTTAATGAAAGTCTATAAACACCTCGGAGGACTTAGCGCATACGAGTGTTCATGCCTGTAGATGGCGGATGCCTTCCCCACTAGAAGTCACAGCTTTAGGTTGAAGAAGCCACAAGCTCAGAAAATTGTCAATGCAAACTTTTTGGAGTGAGAATTATTGTGAACTCGTGGAAACAATCTGTCAGAACGTGTTGCAACGGCAACAAGTGTTAGCTCATTCAAGACCAGACTTGACCAACACTGGCGCATGTTCAGATACATTCTGGAATCCGTGTTTGCTCAGTATTTACCATCAAATATTGCGTAACAGATGTGACCGACCATCCAAGCTGCAAAGAGGGCGATCATTTGTGAAGATTATAAGGAAAAGTAACGTAAAAAGAACCGACGTGTAATAGTTACACCACCACTCAAAATCGTTTTCTGTGGAGAGAGAACAGAGCTAACTATATTTCCACCCGTAAAATTTTCGTTCACGGTTCCCGAGTCTACTCATAATTGAATTGTTCCAGCGCTCCCAGAAAATATAGGCTCCCTTAGATATTGATGAAGAGTACCGTGTACCTGGGAAAGTTATTTTTTTTACTCCGCAACCTTGCTGCTGCTAGTGACACATTCTCTTCAGTTTTTTATACAAAGAGAACTTGATTTATTGATTGGTGTTCGATGTTATGATGTTATCACGGCCCTTCAACTGTAATAAAAAAGTACAAGAGAAAGAACTGTCTGCTTGATGTTTGGAAAAGTTTGATGTTTATTCAGTAATTTTCTCATATTAATTCACATTCTCAGTATGTTAATATACAACATAGGCATGAAACCTCTGGCAAACAGTAAGCTAATTTAACCAAACCATTAGTCAAGGGCGGATACAAGGGGGTCCTGGGTATCCGGACCCCCCTCCCCCTTTTCATCAGAAAATACCAATACTTTTCTTTAATGCAGTTTTGTACTCAGGCATTTTTGTATAGTAAAAAGTAATTACTATTGACCTTAGAATATATTTTAATATCAAGTGCACATGGTTTCAAAATAGCCTCAAAATGCCCGTGATATTGGTCAGATTTCCAAAAAAAATCTGGGGCCTTAAAAAACCCCAGCTGGGTGGGCTCGCTTTGCTCGTCATGTTCCCCCATCCAAAACTTCCTGGACCCCTTATTTAGAGACAGTTTGATACAGGAGTTATTGGGGATCTAGCAAAAACGCGTATATCCCCCTGGTTCGACTCCTGGCCCGAGACGGATACAGGAAGTGCCAGCGCAATCTTATCAAACATCGCAAGTTTCCTGCCGGTACTCTGGTTTCCTCCTGTTCTAAACAATGTAAGTAGTAACAAGGAACAGCCTTGATGTAGGAACATGATGGGTGGATGAGGTGTTACTATTAATCATATTACAATAATTCTACAAAATAAGCAAGTTGGTTTTCTCACAGCACGGTACTATATATTGTTTTCAAGAATATATCAATGTCAACTACAGATGCTACGTTAATGCAATGCAAACAGTAGTATGAAGCAGTACTAGAAGTGTGATATACTCTACATATGTATATAAAACACTGTGTGTGTGTGTGTGTGTGTGTTCCTTGTGCATTTCCGCGGTTTTACAGATAGCGAGCTAGCATTTGGTGGGAGGTGCAGATAGCCAAGGAGATGTTCATGTACTATCTCTTGCCCATCCACCCTAGTGAAGCCGGGTAACTCGGTACATTTCTGTATATCACCAATGTTCGTTTGATCTCATATTTTTCTCTTGAGGAATCAGGTTGGCCTCTCCCCAAAACTGTGATATGCGGAACTGTGGCTGATTGTTTTTATTAATCTCAAACAATAGTTCTGGTCGAATCAGTTAGTATTGATAGTGTGAGGGGCGTCAAAACCCATATGGTTAACTATTCTTTTGTTTTGCTGATATGCGCGATAACAATGACTATAACGTGACATTTTCTTATATATGAACCAGTTATACTGCTGAAAATTTGCCTGACAGCAGTACTACCACAAACCTCGCGGTCATTATCAAAAATTTCATGCCATGAAAAAATGTTTCATCACTAAAGTGTGATTTTTTATTAAAAAAAGATCAGCGGGGCATAATGGAGACGTCCTCCAAGTTCTTTCTCACTGTACCAAAGCAAAAACTGAAGAGTAGCAGTAATGAAACCTCTCCTCTTCTCCCTAAATGTGCGGGTGATGTGGGCCGAGAATCTACGCCACCATCAACTTCCTCAAGAATCTGTGGATTCCTCAGCCAGGTCACAGTCGAGCCTGTCGCTTTCTTGACTGCCGTGTGCCTCGGCATAGAAATGGTCTTCCTCGTCAACCTTTGGGTTGACAAAACGTGTCAGTATCTTGGTTACAGTGAACATATTTGTCAGCAGTTGGACTCTGGAAGTTTCCCTACAGAGCAAGACGCCGTTCAGAGGAAAGTTAATGAATTGAAAAATGTGTACGGTCTTTGGATCAAGTACATACCAGCTACGTTTGTTGTAATAGTACTCGGAGCCTGGAGTGATATTCGTAACCGCCGACTGCCAATATTCCTCTCCACATTTGGATTATTCTTGAAAGCTACGGGTATCTTTTTAAACTCTTTCTGGCGAAGCCTACCTCCTGGGTACATTTTGTTGGCGTTGGTGCCGACAGGAATTTTTGGAGGCTTAATGGCACTCATTCAAGGATGCAGCGCTTATATCAGCGTTATTTCGTCCAAGAGATCTCGCACCTTCCGCATGGCTTTCGTGAACATGTTAATGCTCCTTGGTGCACCTGCTGGAAATGCGGTCGGGACATTCATATATAACAGCTATGGCTATAATTTCGTTTTCGGAGCAGAGATTGTTATATACATTGTTTCTATGTTGTACATTGTAGCCCGACTAGAGAAACATCCAGGGACTGACTCCTTACGACACCAACCACATTCGAGTGTGTTAAAGGTGTTGTCGCCGTCAAGTCTGGTGAAACCGTTCTCGGTGCTATTCAAGAAACGTGAGGGAGGTGCACGAGGCCACATCCTCGGTCATGTCATCATCATCTGGATCCTCCTGTTTGATACAGGTAAGGCTTATTGTATGGTTAGAAAGGGTTTTAAACATGAAAATTTACTGATATGCAAATTTTTCCATACAGCTTAGTTTATTTGATGTATCTGATGTACTAAAATTATTCTAGCGTTTAAGTAAAGGTGTGTGGTGACCACAAGAAGAGAATCATATGAAAAAGGTAAGGTAATCAGCAAGCCAATATCTGAAGCTTGTAAAAAGAAAAGGTTGGACTTAACAGCCTCTCTTATAAAATGTTGACCTCATTTTAAAGTGTAAGTTATGGATTTTTTCGAGGGACAGCCCACCCGGGCACAGGTAAATGACCCACATCAGGGCCTGGAGGGGGACTAAATAATAATAATAATAAATAAATAAAAAAAAGATCGAGGATGGTCGGCCCAAGGGCCACCTAGGCATGAATTTGTTAAGGTGTAGAAGCTGTCGCCAACACAACAACCACACCCTAAGTTAACGAGCTGCATGACCCAGTGTCAAGGAAGAGTCCGAGAAGACCGAACAACTCGCCAACTGTACTGGCTAACCATTACCCCGGAATATGATCCGCAAATCAATTAACATCCAGGTCCCCAATTACTGCTGGGTAGACAGGGACAAATGGCGTAAAGAAACTTGCTCATACTTTCACCCTGCCCAGGGGGTCGAACCCGGGTCCGTTCGCTTGCGAGGTTGGCATGCTGACCCTTACACCACAGGTCGCCATTATATAATATATATGTTGTGTTGTCAGTAGTAAGAGACACAATTGAGACACTGCAATTGTGTGTAAATGAGGCAGAAAGTCAGATCAGCAACCTGGGACTTGGTCACAATTTTTATGATGCCATATGGCAGCAGGGTCTACCATTAGACAACACTTTATGCTTCCAATAGCTTCTCAGGTGGTAGTACCTCCGTTTGATAGCTGCCTACTACCTCTTCCACAACATCACAATAAACATTTGTTCTTTCGGTATTTTTGCTATTTTTTTTAATATTCACCATTGCAAAGTTTCGGCAGTAATTTGGCTTATTTGCTTTGCTGCTCAAATTGATTGTTATTTTTGTTTCAACGAAATGGTAAAAAAAAAAAATCTTGTGATTCGAAATTAATCTAATTTATTTAGGTTTGGTAATTTGCAAGTACAGTAATAAGTTTTACAGTATTTTGCTTGTCAGTCTGCAGTAGAAACATCATTTTCTTTTTCATTGCTATAATTATTTTATCCATAAAAAATTATGACCTTCTTCATAATTTATAATGTTCATAAATACATGTCAATAGAAAGCAATGATTCTCAGGAAACTTTGTACATTTTTGTAAAAATAAAGAAGATCCATATTATATAAGCCAGTCGACCCGTCAAGATTATTAATGATAAGACATACAGGAAGTTGATCATACAGTACAGCAATGGGAAATCCATTTGGACCAACCCTTGTCAACGTCTTTCTCAGTTACCACGAAGCAAAATGATCTGACTCAGTCTTCCTCGAGGGAGGTGATACTTTGAATTACCAATTTCTTGAACTTTTGAAATTAAATTTTATTTGTTAGATTAATCATCACATTATGTTCATTATCATAGGATAACATCCATGTATAGGGAGATGTATGAAATTATAAAGTTACACTCATCTTCTTAACACTTTACAAAAGTTAACTGATTTTCTCTTGTACATCTTTCCCTTTCTTTACCTTTGCAATAAAATCACCCATTATAATAAAGTAATTATTGAACTTGACAACTTCGTTTGCAAGCTTAAAATCCTTGGAATACTATCTTAATATATCGTCTTCACAGTCATTTGTTTTTGCTTAAATCTATATTATTGCCATGTCCATATGTTTAACAGAACTAAACTCTCTCTCTCTCTGACTCTGGCCAGTATCCCTTAATAAAGCAACCCACCTTCTGCTTCACATGACTACCTCTAACAAATAGTGTAACATTCGCCTCCATTAGTACTATTTGAACCTGTCCATCTCACTTCACTTACCCAAACTATTCCTCTGCAACTTTTCATCTCCCTGCAAACATTATACAGTGTATACTTCCCTATATTATATGATGTCCTCGGAGTCCAATTTTCCATTATATATTTTATATTCTCATTATTGGGCTTTTTGGATTGTCTTATGCTCAAGCCTTTGTATTACCATTAATATTTAATCATGGTGGATAAATCAACAGCCACATTCCTGTATACTGTTATGTAGTGATATGATAAAACTATACCTGATAAGAACGATGAGTAATGATGTTATCCTCGGTTGGGATATGGCACTGATAAAGAGATAAGAACAATAATATGTAGATATTTGATAAGACTAAAAATGGTAAGAAAGATGTATCGTTAGTTTATATATAATTTTTATTCGCTGATGTTAATAGAAACTAGTCTATGAAAAATTTAATTTGTCACATCCTTCATGAACAACTAGTTATGGTCGTGTCTGTTTTCTTGGCAGGAGTGATGAACTTCGACTTCTTATACACACGGAAGATGTTTGGCTGGGACCACAACACATTCACTATCTGGTCCATCACAAAGTCAGCTATATCGTGTTTAGGTGAGTCATGTTGTATCTCCAGCATTATAAGACTTCAGAACCTGTAATTACATAAAGATAAATTATTACAATGATCAAGGTGAAAGATACTAATCAGTGAGCCTTTTCTCTGTTGTAATTTATTGCAAGTTTACATGGACTGTCTCTGGTATCAGTGTTTAAGGAATGTTACAAATTATCATAAATGAAAAACTCCCAAAATATTACAAATTTAACCAGTCAAACATTTGTATATTGTCCTCAAAATGTATTCTTCCCAAAGAACTAATACGTCATATACTTAGTAATATCTTTTTCTAAAATTTATAACAACTCATGAACTGATGTCAATCACCCACAGGAACCATAGTGGTCGTTCCATTCCTGAGTTACGTGAAGCAAGTGAATGACTCCGTGTTGGGCTTCATGGGGGCTGCGTCCTTCATGTTTCGTAACATCATCGCAGGCACGGCTCCTGCCCCATGGGTCCTTTACATAGGTAGGTCCTAAATTGACTATATTATGGTTAGTGCTCTTTACACCACGTACACTTGGGTGATTATTTGTCGACGTGGATATTCAGTGTGAGGAAGTTTGTGGGACTATGCTGTGCTTGGCGTATATAAATGAAATGAGGAACTTCTGTACAAATATCTAAAAACTCTACGAAGGATTTGGGGCAATTCTGTGTGACATTTCTTCAGAAGTAATAAAGAAATGGCAATTGGGAGACATGATGAGGAGCGAGTAAGACGCTGCAGACTTGAAATTTTACGGTTAGTGTTGACAGTGGAGTGCTGAGGTAGAGAGGTGAACTGTTGATATATGCCTGGGTCACAGCACGAGTTTTAACAAATGTGGAGGTGTAACTGACCTGCCAAAGGAACAGTTAAGACTCTTATTAAAATGACTTGTACAGTAATCATAGATATTTGCTACTGCTGAATTTCATACGAAGAGTACTTTTTGATGCAAATATCTTACTATTTAACTTTAGTGGGTTTAAATTAGTGTTGTGTTGTAAATAGAACCCTACCATTGATGAACACGATTCTCGTGTTTGTGGGTAGCTGATTTACACAGTCTTCCTGTCCTGTAAAAATCTAAATCCTTCGTGTAGTGTGTAAAAGTCAAGATCGAAGAAATCACATATGAAGAAGAACAAATATTTTTCTCACTTATCCAACCAAGATTCATGAAGCAATAGGATATGGGGTTCGCGTTTTTGTTTCATATTATATTGGATTTAGGTGTACAATCATTAAGATGAGAGAAGATAATTTTCTCCCACGTGTACAGTAAATATCAACCTGTTTGTCATTGATTTTGTTGTTTATTTTTTTTCATTGAATTTTTGAAGCTTAATCGGCTTTTGTCCCTATTTGGTGTGACACACACACTCATCATCATCATCATCCTCATCCCCATCCTCATCCTGATGATGATGATGATGATGATGATGATGTTTTTGTAAGATTGTTGTACAGTCTCTTAAAATTATTGCGGGATATAATTAATTGAATGTTAAGATAAATAATGCATAATTGAGTCAATAATACAGTAATTTTTAAATTCTAGAGCAATAAATAAACACATTTACACAAAGAATAATTAACAATATAATTCAAAATATCCTTTCAATGATGTGTGTGTGTGTATCAGCGGTGGTAGCAGGCGTCTTCACTAACTTTACCTTCTCGGCGTCCCGAGGGAGGCTCTCCAAGTTAGTGGCGGCCGAGGAGTTGGGGGCCATCTTCGCTGTGGTGGCCATGGGCGAGTCCATCATGCCCGTCATAAATGGACCCTCCTTGTCCTTCATTTACAACGCCACGCTCGAGGTCTTCCCTGGCACCATATATGCCATCACAGGCAGCTTATTCGCCGTCATTTGTTGCATCTACACGTGAGTTGACAACGAGACCTGGTACAATGCTGCATTACATTGCAATTGTTTAGCCATTTGTATAATGTATGTGTACCAGATGTGTAGTAGGCAGCTATTAAACAGGAAGGTACTACCGCCTGGGAAGATATTGGAAGCATAATGCGTTATCTATTGGTAGACCCTGCTGCCATATGGTACCACAAAAATTGTGACCAAGTCCCAGGTTGCTGATCTGACTTTCTGCTCCATTAACACATAATTGCAGTGTCTCAATTGTTTCCTTTACTTTGACAACACAACATACATACAGTATATCGTTTCTTACTATTGATCTTTTTGTTTTCTTTTTTATGGCCCTTTATTATTATTATTATTAGTAGTAGTAGTAGTAGTAGTAGTAGTAGCAGCATATTTTAATTTGATATTAAAAAAATATATATTATTTATTATTATTATTATTATTATTATTATTATTATTATTATTATTATTATTATTATTATTATTATTATTATTATTATTATTATTATTATTATTATTATTATTATTATTATTATTATTATTATTATTATTATTATTATTATTATTATTAAATATTAGCCCCCAGGCCCTGATGTTGGTCATTGACCTGTGCCCCGTGGGCTAATCCCGTAAAAAATAAATATATATAGTCTGCTTTAAACCATATAATTCAAAATATTGATCCATATTTAATATTTTGAGCTTGTCACGTTACCAACAGTAGGTCTATACTAAGCCTGTCACCGTTACGGGCCTTTGTGCTTGTACAATAGTTGATGTTCTGTCTCTTTCACCGTTCTTGTATGGGAGGATTTGTTGTCTAAAAGTTCCTGCTTGATACATGAATATTTGTTTTTGTTTCCGGTCTGTGACATGATTCGTTAAAATTGTTTTATAAACGACATTTTATTTATATGTATTGTTAAGGAATCACTCCTTCTGAAGTGTATTGTTGAGTTATTTTTCCTAACAAACATATAATTTGCCAAGTTGTTTGTTTTAATTTATCTGGTTCGTTGAGACTAAGAAAAATATATTTCTAGTAACATTGTTCCTCTAATAAGCCTCATTCACATTTCTTGGACAGTTGTATATACAAGTGCTTTCTCACCCACAGTTGGTTACTGACTCGTCCTGAACAGCTACTGGCCAACTAACAAGTAGGGCGACCAGTCTCGTCTCCCGCCACAGAACCAGTTACCAACTCCTGTCTGTTACCAGTCGTTAGCTCAACCAGTCTCTCTTCTGTATAGTGGCGTATGTATGGAAGAAACACAGAGAAAGTTGTGCTACCTTTGCCCCACCAATAGTTACTCTACTCACTAGCACCAAATAAGAATTCGCTCAATTGCATACAAGGGCTGTTGATTCCCGTTAACGTGACTTGAGAGTGATAAAGGTAATCCTGCCTCAGTGCGTCAGGTCTCTTTACAACTCAGGCGTAAACGACTCCAGCTAGAAGGGGAAGAGTTCCCTCGGGCCACCTCTTCCCAGCCGGGTTGTTAGGTAAAATTCAGGTTATCTAGTTTGAGCCCCTTCGTTCCCTACATACAGTTACTCCTTAGCTTTTTTGTAGCGTGGTCGGCGGACTCTGTGCCCGGGACGTCCAGCCAGTGGGGCACAGGCGACGATCTCGTAGGCTCACCCGGCAAATCAGGGTACAACCAGCCGGTCAATCCGATCATCGACCTGGATGTTAGATCCTACTGCTATCAGTAACACCACCAGCCATCATCCATTAGTCGCCAAGTTAACTTCTCGAAAACCTGGAATAATCCACCCATTAACCACGGAGCATACCCCCTTCCCCATCCCTATCTAATCACTGTACGTAATTGAACTGAACTTGTGAATAATGTCGATGTCGGTCTCAAGATATGTGAGCACGTGAACCTTTTGTCCTGGGTCAATGACTGGTCACATATTCAAAGCAGAATATTCCGAAAGTGTAATGGTTACATTTGTAAATGAAGTGAAACTCAAATTGGCGAAATAAAAGAATAAATCTTGGAGCTCGTATATTTTGGCTGAAGAGAGTTCTAGTATTTGGACTGAAATATAGCAGCTCCAAGATTTATTCTTTTATTTCGCCAATTTGGGTTTTAGCTTCATCTACTGATATATTTTAGAATTTATAACTAATCATAAACTTAACTAAAATTTCATGTACTGTATTTTATTTCTTAAATACTACCTTACAGTTTACTTTAAGTCTACATTAAACACAGTATATTTACGGTTGTCAGAGATTGTCCTTTATTTCACTGCCTTGTCTCGTTGTCCCGGAAATGCCTGTCAGGACGCATAATTGTCCTGCATGTGAGTTGCCCTCATACGTTGACTTGGGGGAAAAAAAAAAAACAATATATCGTCAAATCTTGCCTCTGTAGTAGCCTCTGTTTATGATAAGCTGTTTTGGTAAGCCAACCATAACACAAGCCGTAAACGTGGACACATTCAGAGGGATTCTAAATGGACATGTAATGTGTTGGTACAGGAGGATGGTGAATGTAAATTATAATGATAGAAACTCCTATAAAAAAGTTATAAGATTGGTCAATTTATAGCAGAGGATATAATTAAAAAGAGTACATATTTAAATATCACCTGTAGTGCCTACCTATTTAAAAATACCGTGATGCAAGTGATGTCAGGCGTAAATTTATACTCCTCCAGTCCTATGTAAAAAAAATATATACTGAGGAACAAGGAGATGAATAAAACCGGTAACAAGGTGATTTTGTTTTATTAAAATGTATTGTAAATACTTAAAATCTTGCAAAGTTTTGGCAGTGTCCACAACACTTGAAGGCATCTTTATTTATCTTCTTGCATTCTGATACAAAACCTGCGTCACCTGGGTAATGAGATTTAAATTTTGGGAATATTCGATCAACATTTACATTTGAGGTTGGTGATGACAGTGCAAATATTGGCAGCGTTGTGAAATAAGGTTCGCCAATGGTTACGATTGAGATTCCCGTCTCGAAATATTCTGGATTCTGTAGTTATTTCATGTGTTGTGGGATGTGAATGTTTTAAACATTTCTTGGAGAAATTAAATGAATTTTTTGGGCCATATCAGACAAAGTGGCCTATTAACATGTACAGTCAGCCAAAGATGCACCGACCCCACCCTGGGTCTCGTGCTCGCAATTTTACCTGGCAATATTTGGTAAAGGAAGGCTGTATGTAATGGTGACTGTGATTGGTGGATCTGTTTTCGGGTGTATCACTGTCTGGATAAATATTAAACAGACCAAAGGTAGAATTTTTTTAATAATAAACTATTCATTGTTATTTAAGGTCATGAGAAGTTTCCAAATGTTCGAATATTTGTTTAAATAATGAAAATTTGATGTGAGAATCTTGTGGCAGCTGTGGTTGTAGTTGAGTTGCCAATTCATTAGTACAATTGTCTTCATTATTTAAATAAATATTCGTACTCTACAGTAGGTTGAAAACCAAATGGAGAATCCTGACGTTGCTATTGCATGTTGTAGAAGTTCGTGGTGTTGTTACTGTATGTTGTAGAAGTTTCTAGCGTTGGTGCAGAAGATCTTCTTCTGCTGGTGGTCAGGGAGATGCTGGAGGAGCTCCTTCAGAGCAGAGAACACGCGGCCGTAGTCAGTGTTGGCAGCCAACCTACACACGGGCCAATCGGACCCGAACATGAGGCGGTCAGGCCCAAACACCTTTAACATGTGCTGTGAAAGAAAGAGAAAATGAGTTATGAGGTTCGCGGGCTGCCTTGATTTCACCTGCTGTCAGTATTTTATGGAAGACAACAGCTACAGTTTCGAAGACTCATAGTGGACCAAATTTCAAGACAGTTCTTCGTCGGTGTCAGCTGATCTTGGCGACTAGCATTCTGGTTACCATGTTCTCCTGACCTTCCTTAATCTAGGCTAACCTACCACAGTAAATGACATCTTTTGTGATGAGAATCTAACCGTTATATTATCCTGGCGGGGGATTATGTGTACTGGAAAATCGTCAGGTGGAATTTCCTCCATGCAACTCTACCTACACTTCTACCTACGCCTTTACTTACATCTCCACCTTCGCTTCCACCTACACCTCCACCAAAATCATTTCTACCTACAACTCCACATACACCTGCATCTACATCTTCATATATGGCTACACAGCCACCTTTTCCTTCACCTACACCACTCGCCTCCACATAAGGACGGAGGTCTTTCCACTTCTCCAAGTCAGCCTCAGTGGCCATACTTGACCTGTGAAGAAGGGTGAGATCAGTGACCCTTCCAGCCCGTGTGTGTAACAGCTACTCAACCTTTATAACACTGGGGAATACGTTATTATAATTTGTTAACTTGTGTAGGTTACAAGCAAGTTTATAAGTGTGTGTGTGTGTGTGTGTATAGAAAGGAACAAGACGCAGTGGCCTTCTAACTTACAGCTTGCAGTATATGTTGGGGTATCTGGCCACGGCGGCGATGTGCTCCCGCCAAGGGTCGAGCTTACCCTCAGCAATGTAGGGCTTAGCAAGGTGATCCACCACCATCCTTGTCCCTGACACCCGGCTAGCCAGCACACCTGCACCCTCCAGAAGCGGGGGCCTCAACAACACACGTGATACGATAACTATTATGCTCCAGTCTTTCTATATTGTATGTTGATCTTAATAATTTTTCTACTTTTACTTCAGTGCAACAATGCCTCATTCTCTTTCTAGTTGGGTGGATTAATGGAAAAATCGTTCAGATCTGTCAAAAGTGTGAAATTTGACATGAAGTTGCCTTTTGTCATATAGAAACAGTTCCAGGGTGGGGGACACGCTGCGACTTCACTCTGGCAGTCCGAAACATGGTGAAATTAATCAGGCATCCTCAAAATTATAAGAAACGAGATAGATTTATGACATTAATTGGTTTGCTCAAAATGGCCCCCCAGCGTGTCCCTACCCCGGAAATGTTTCTATGTGGCAAAAAGTAACATCATGGCAGATTTCGCAATTTTTGTCATATATTATTGATTTGGGTGTATTTTTGCATTAATCCTCCCCACTATTCCCAGGAGAAGAGAAATAACAAGTACGAGTAACATCAGACGCATGCAAGTAAGAGTACCTGAGGAGGAGGTCGAAGGTCATGTTGTACTTGTGGAGGAGGTTGACCCCGGCGGCGAGCTCCTCCCGCTCCAGGTAGTCTTGGCGAGGGTCAATGTCCAGGATATGCCGGAATCCCACCAGCAACGGTACCTCCTCCTTCAGTGCCACCAGGCGGCTCTCAAACTGCCGACCACCGTACACTTATTTTTCTGAGTAGCTTTTTTTTAAAGCTCTTTGGATATTGTTACATTATATAGCCATCTTCTGCACTTTGGCTATATTATACAGGAATCTGCTGGTTACATTAAATAGCCGTCTGCAATATTCTACAGCGACCTCGTTTCCGAAGAACAACATTGTTTTGGGATTTTGTGTCGGCCTTACTTACTGTAGTTGTAAATTCGATTTCCCGCAGCTGAATATAATACTAATAAGTTTAAACTGTTACGCGCTCCACACACCCATTATGTTTTACACAATGTATATGTTCTGGGTACATAATATACATACACACAACACGCAACTAATTTAACTTCCTGTACAGCACACACAACTTTCTTTGAACTGATTTATTATTTCACTTTTCAACACTTCACACTGTTACTCTAAACAGCTCCGACCCCGCACAGCACGACCTGATCTTGGCGTAGTTCCCCAAGGATGACCGTGAAACCTGGACTGACCTGAGGATGAGAGGGGTCAAGACCAGCCACAATGCCCTTGATGCGAGGATGTTGCTTGGCCAGGCTCATCACCCACTCTGTAAAAATATCAAGTCAATAATACTTACGTGGGCGGTCAATAATTTACACTGTAAACTGAACGAGTCGGCCATATCGTCTGTAAACAAACAATGCCATTAAATGTAACCGCCAGCAAAATAAACCATTTAATATCACTAAAATTATCAATTACTTTTTTACTGTCGTGTTTATAAATTATTCTATAAGAGACGAATTGTGTATCGCCTCCTAATAAGGGCAACTCGGGTATCAGGACTTATTTATATGCTAGTGTGTGGTGGCCGAGTGAATATAACACTCGTCTCCTGTCCCAAGGCACTCCCAACCCACCCATACAAGTTAGGGATGTGAGAGCGGTCGAGTGGAGTGTCGGACATTGCCCCCTTGCGTACTGAAGGTTTAGTATTCAGTGTGCTGGATCCACACTGTCTTTAACTGGCATTATCTATCGAGCATAAACTAACTTTTGCCATTACATTTATTTTAAAAATAATGTCATAATTTTAGATGTTATCTTCTGGGAAAATAACTTATTTTCTGGATTCTAACGAAGTGCCTTTAATTATAATTCTCGCGGTACAAAAACTCTCGCTTGCTGCTCTCCCTGATGCCCACTCGCGTAACTGCTACACTCACTGGCTTCCTCCGGGGAGTCGTTCAGGCACTGCACGAACACCACATCTTTAACTCCGGTGTCGGCCATGGCGTCCCACAGGTCCTCAGGCTGGTGGTCCCGGTAGATACATAAGTCGGGTGTTGGCCACGGGTATTGGAACCGCTTAAGCTCAAACAGGTCTACAAAATCATGCATTATATTGTCAACAGGTTTAAAATCACCCGCCAAACGTAAATCAGGTGGGAGGGGGAATGTTCTGACTTGAGTCATTGTACAGTCAGGTTAGGACAACATAGCCACCATTATGGTACTGTACAACTCTCACCACGGGCTGCCCTCACGGAACAGGTCAAGCAAGGACAATTTAACCGTTATGATAGAAGTAGTACAGATGCTGTACACTCGGTTACTATTATGGGTGTATAACAACTACCATCTCAATTATGTTATCTTTCACACCAAGGCCACGGATGCTCAAAGATTCGTATGCATATAAGTATTTAAATGGAACTACTTTTGCTGTTGTGAATTTATCATAACCAGCTTGAAATGCACCAGTGACTCGAGGCTTCCCATCTGGAGGACTTTTGTGTGCTGAGAAAAAGTGGTCTGAGTTTGTCTTAGAAAAATTGGTCTTAAGCTTATGTGTATTGAGGAAAACTGGAGACCTAATTTAAATGTGCTGAGAAAACATTTGTGTAAGCTCAGCATCAAGGAGAGCAAGACCACAGGCAGTCTTAGCGAGAGTGTCACAGGGTACACGTCAAGGTTGTGTGTGGTCGTATATCCCCAACAAACTAGTCACTTAACAACACTACCACCACAATGCCAATAAGTCAACAACACCATCGCTTGAACATCTTTTTGACCTTAAATAATACGACAACTTCAGCAATGGACTTGTTTAGTGGAAAGCGTAGTTTTATAATGAAGAGAACTAGGGAAAACATTTTATATTCATGTTAGGTCATGTCAAACCTGTGTAATTTTGGGTCAATACATCATTATAACTGTAGTTACTAATGAATTCCGGTTATTTTACCAGATTCTTTCTACCGTTATTAATTTATGAATCGGATAACAAAAATGTTTGATAATTCATCATATTCAGTGAAACAATAATAATATAATGCTGCAGTGTTTCCTTTGAGCTGAATATTGATTGTTCTCGTTGTGTTGAATATTAATTGAAATAGCATACTGTGATGTGGCACAAAATTTTCATCTAAACGCTGGTAACTAAGGACGACCACTTCATTATGGGCAGCACACAAGTTGGTTTAGTTACCGTGGTAACTGATATATTTGTTAGCAACATGTAAGATGCTGTGATCCAGATGATACACACTGATATTTAAGAATTTTCTGGAGCTAAATCACGTTTAGCCATAACACTATTGAATGCTGTATATTGTACAATCTGTATGTCAATTTCTAACTTAACTTACTCTTTCAGTCTCGGGTTCAAGCTCACACCAGAGATACTGTTCACCGGACTCCTAGTCCTAGATAAACGTATTGTACTCTGAGATGTGGCAATGGAAATATTGTAACATTATAAGGTCTGGGATCATCCCTGGCCGTTTATAAAGCTCATTAAGAAGAAACACTCGTTAACTCACGACAGTGGGAGTCCAGTATCTTATCCGTCCAAGGCGCCGCCATCCTCACTGACTCTCAACCTACAACTGAATACATTAATACTCGTACATTTATCATGCAGCTCATGGGTGTGCTCGCCTTACACGCACTCCACATATTGTCAAAGTAACCATTTTCTTTTTTTATGTATAAACAATCTATACGTTAGTGCGTAACTCTGTATAGGGCCACGCATACAGTTTACTGATATAGGCCTAAATACAGTCTCTCAAAAAAAGTATTTTTCCACACTGTGTGAAACATTATGAAACCACGAATGATAGATGCTGGGATATGCGCGTTCCTGCCCTGTATAGTTTAACATAAGATATGCAATGTGTTTTTATTTCGGCATAATTAATATGATGTTCGGTTACCACGAGATGTATGTAGCATTTTGGAAGACATCAGACCCATACCTGGCAGACACTTTTTGGGGATACTGTACAGTTATGGGTAAAACTAATAACATAAGTGTCAACCCCTTTACAATAGCTACACTGGGTGGGTGGGAAGAAACCGCAGCGCGACTCTAGCTTTACAACAAAGGCAACTTAATGTGTGTGTGTTTTTATAATTCAACAAACCACTATTTATCTACGCAGAATAAATATTTTACAACATTTAAGTGCCCATTTTTCATTTTCAGTTTTAATGTTGGGGTCAAAAGTGCTGTATATCCCATTCACCCACTGTACGTGTTGGCGAGACCTCCCACCCCCATCCACAACCGTCCCCAACCCCCACTCCTATCCCCCATCCTCCCATCCCCATCAGGACCGTGGTATACCTTTGCTGTTCTTTAATTTTTCCTCCAGTACTGCGCATAGAAAATACATACTCCATCACCAATGACTGAGTGACTGTCCTTGCTCACGGAATATCCAGTTTCACGGTTAACTTCCTATACCCAGTTGCCGAGCCCCGCCACCACTGCTCCTCACCTCCTTCATTACCACACAGTATTATTTTATTACCATATAATACAGTGCAGTTAAACAGTTTGTACTTATCATAAGATGTGAAGATTATCCTCTCCCAAGGATAATAACCCTCTCATTCTCTGTTAACATTGGTGATAATAATGGTTGTTGTAGATATGAGCAGTCAACTCACAATCGACTGTCATGATCCCGGATTATTGTACATTACGGTATATTAGATTTGTATCTGATTGACTTCCCATAACGGCTAGAATACTGTCTTGAAAACTGCGAACAAATGCAAAAGCAACCATGAGTGAAAACTTGATAAAGACTTACGTGAAAATACCAATCGTATAATATCCGGCAGGACAAGTTGACGACCAACACCAGGATTGACCTTCCTTCACCCTCGACATTACCTCTGCTTATCACACTTAAAACTGCCCTCTTAATAAGTTTAGGATTCACGAGGTTTCCTGTCCGATAGCATCAATTGTATACCAGAAATTCTATCATTCGACCGAGAATATGACGCTTGAAAAGAAAACAACACACATATGGCACTACTTCCCTGAGTTACCCCGTTACGTAGGAGGACAGACTGAGTATGACAAACGAAAACCCGACGAAAAATTAAATCTGGTAATGAATTGTGACGTTGACTGTTACATTGTCGGGGGGGGGGGGGAGGTATAGAATTTTTAGTTGACAAGAAAAAATATGCGGTTGAAGGGTAGAGAGTGTGGTAGAGAGATTGAATGAGTGATGCGACACGAAAGTATTAAGGCGGGACCCATTGTTTTAAGATCACATGAACGGCAATGCAAAGCGTGATATACGACAAATAAGATACAGAACGTGGCCGATGATAAATACACTTTCCTTCGTGGTGAAAATTCTGTGCCTCCCTTCCCCTGTCTCCCTATAAAAATGCATAATTAACTTGTCTTATAATTATGTGAAGAAGGTATTAATATCGGGGGGCATGTCGAGGAAGAATCGTCCACTGCTGTAATCATATCTGATAAGAATAATAATGTCCCCTTCAAGTACACAATATAGATACTCCTGTTATCACATCCGCATCTGATCTGTGTCTTTGTGTGATGGAGGGACTTCGGGAGGAATTAGAATATAAGGGAATTATTAAGGACTAATATCTAGGGGTGGAGCAGTGTTGAGAAGTAGCTTTGTATAAATCTTGGTTAATTAATCAAGCCCAGAGACGGCAAACTCGCCAAAAGATATGCGGTCGAGTACAACTTAAGGGACCAGTAGGAGAATTGGTACTTAGTAAATGGTGAGTTTCTTAATAGAAGTACGTTAATTTTTTTGGCTGCAAGCAAGTGGTAACAGTGTGATCAGTGCCTCGATCCTTATGGTAAGAGGTCCCTGACAGGAGGACAATTGAAGCAATTAGTGTTAATGAAGAATTATGATGCCATAATGAAGGGTTGGTTTACAGGAATTGCAATGATATGTGTATATACAGAACAGTACTTACAAATACTTTCTAAGTGATGACTGGCGAATCCCTCATACAGGCACTGACTGCTGTACAAACTAGCCTAGTGCCTTGCCTGTCCTATCTCAATCACGACCTTATTTTTCGTACAACAAACAGTGAACGTTGAATTGATTTATTTCTGAAAAAGCTTCTCTTTTTAATTCTCTCATCATTATTCTCTCTTACTAAATTCCTCCTCCTCTCCTCTCAATAGCAACCCAGGCAAGCAGGTCACTTCCCTTACTCAGCCTACCGCACCCCTTCACAGACAGCCTCCCTCTCCCGCCCTCCATCCTCCCTCACAAAAAAGCAAGCACTCAGCACCCCTGCGGACCCTCCCTCTCTCTCTCTCCTAACACATGCTTCGCTTTTGTTTTTGCTCTCCTATACAAATCGTAAGCTCTGATGTTTCCTATACCTTTTACATAATCCGGTCATGTTTCCTCCCTTACAACTAATCTACCTATGACAGGATTCGTCTTGTTTCAGTCCAGTGAGAGAAGAATGAGCATTAAGAATCTAAGCAAGCATGCACTTGAAATTATGCTTGGCCCAGTCAGTGTACCCGCTGCAACGAAGCTTAGTGGAGACAAACGAAAAGGAGGGACTGCACGCCTCCCAATGGTGCCAGTCTAATACGCATTTTAGGACATTAACTCCCTTCAGCACCTCCCGGATCTATATTTGGATTATCTCCTAGTCATCTCAAGGACCATACACAATGTAAAGGTAAGATAATACAGTAATTTATCTTTTGTGATCTTATTCCCTAAACCTATTTTTCCAAGATATGATCGAGAGTGAGCTAACACACGGTGAATTTCGCCTGTTTCCGTATACATCACTGTAGTCTTTTGAAATATCTAAAGACTAATCAATACACTTTGCATCTAATATATTTTCATGCCTACAATTATAGGAACTACTCTAGAGTGACCTTGTCTACCTAGAAATACTAGCTATTTATCATTTTGTTTACATCTTAATAATGTCCTTTATTTTAAGGATTTATTAGTTTTAAGATACACTTAAGCATAAAAATACAAGAAAATTATATCATCGCTTTATAGTTTATATTGCAAGTATATACATGATCCTCTCTGTATAAAGACCAGGTTGAATTTTAAATAAAAATGAAAGAAAAAAAATCATCAATTACGCAATTTTTCAATAAATTTAGCGTGACACGCGCATGCACACGCGCACGCACGCACGCACGCACACACGCACGCACGCACACACACACACACACACACACACACACACACACACACACACACACAGTGCCTGAGCCCCAACACAAGAGCGTATGTAATACACCCTAAATGCCTCACCTAATGTAATTTATAAATTATCCTAAACTATCCTAACACTATTTAATATAACTTAACCTAACCGATTTTTTAATTCCTAATAAATGCCAAAAAACAAGCGGGTGTGCCACTATTTAGGTGAAATTAATTGATACCTCCAACGTATGAAATATTTTAAAATTTCGACAATTTCATTTACCAGTAGGGAACAAAAACCAGATAACTACAGCTATTTGTGCCTATACAGTACTGTACCGTATATAACTGTATAGATATTATGTATTGTACCTTTTAGTTTTAAGTAATGGCTGGCCAGGAAGTCCAGAGCAGAAAAAAATTTGATATCGTCCAGCTTAACCAGAATAAGATCCTAACGCCATTATCTTATAAAGTTGAGAACAGTGACAAAATACTAAAGCATAAATAAGGATATATATGCATGTAGCTCGCACTGACGCCACGGGGGAGTTGTGATATTGAATATAAATAATTAAGTTAATAAGATAAGAGTTGTCAAAGTTTATACCAAATTCGATAAGATTATATCAGACCCCTTTACCGATATAAAGGTGAACAGAACAATGTCATCTGTATTTAGTTCCATGTGGTAATATTAATATGGTCTTCCCCAAAACCAGAAACATTGGGAGAACATTTTGATTAATGTTGCGTTTAAAGTTTTTACTATAATGTCAGGAAACCTTAAATACATTTTCTGTCTTTACATCATTCCAGACACTGGGTGGTAAAAAAAAAATGTTAATGTGGAGCAAGCATGAAGGGGCGACAGTGCCCATGGTGGTGTTCCTACTGCTGGTGCTGACGGGTAAGTGTCGTCCAAGATATTTCTTGTTAGGTGTGCACACTCCACCCTTGGTAAATTCCTGTTAGGATGTATTATGAGATGTAGGAAATTTAATGTAAATAATAATGAATGGTAATGTACCGATTAAAATACCAAATCTTTTAATCCAGTAAGAACTTATGCTAATTTATATACTGTACATATCAGAGACAGGACCATTGTTTCATAAGTATGAAGGATATTTGCAACATGGCGATAATTTCATTAACATGACGATTTCTAAGAAAATACGACCTGATGAGCCTTAAGTATTCACCGAACACGGCGGCTCTCAATTGCTCCCCCAAATTTGCCGCTTAATATTACTCAAAGGGGTGCGGTGGCCGAGTGGACAGTGTGTTCGCCTCCTGTTCTAGGATCGCCGTCATGCCTTTGGGATGCAATTTCACTTTAAATAAATATTCCAGAATTTAATTAAAGAGCAGTTCACGTGTGATATTTGAGTTTCTTTAGAATTTTCGAGAGTGCATCTACAGACTTGCTCTCCCATTTGTTATTTCTTCATAAAAAGTTATTTAAGATGAATTATAAAAAACAAAGATATTGCAGCGGCCCTGTGTATGGAACTAGAAAAAAAGTCATACCACATTGAACACATCGCTTCTAATCCGATCAGCGAAGTAGTTAAATTATGCAACATTGAATCTGGTCAGTACGACTTGGATGGCTGATCGCCTGGGAACACTAGATGCTGCTGTCATTTAAACTACAAGGACCTTATTGGAAATAAGCATCATGTAATGACTCTGTCTGGTATCGTAGGTCAAATTGCCTATCAATTATTATTATAACAGCTCTGAGACTGCCGCCTCTCGGGCGTAGTACTTAAAAAATCGATACAAAACATTCAAAATGTTGTTCATTTCTTCTTTATCAGGAAGTAAACCTGCATCTATTTCTGGACGTTTTTTAGTCACACATTTCTTAGTTTAATTAGGTTTTATCTTGTGCTTACAGGTGGCAGCGCGACATGTGGGTGCTGGGGGTCGAATCTAGTGTACCTGCATCACAAGGCTCCTGCCACCGGCTGGTACACCTTGCACATCGACAAGGGCATTTACATACGAAACATTAACATATCCGGCGATGAAGTACAATATTTACTTGAGTACAAGTTCAGGTTTAAGTACTGGGCGCTCTTCGAGAGAACTCTGAAGAATGGTATCAATCATGACGGAGAGGTAAGTACTGTATTACATGAACTGAGATCATTTAGAATTACAGAACAGTGACAGGTATGCGTTGTTTATCTAAGTTTTAGATGTGTCAATAAATGAGGTTTGTATAGGCTAAATGGTCACAGAGGCAAATTTGGTGATGATATATATTACATTTGTAGAACAGCAATAGTGCACTTACGTCTCTGTAACCTGGAATCGATTCCTTGTTGAGTTGCAACAGATTAGGACTGAATTAAGTATTTATTGATAAATTAAGCCAAGTTTCCAACATGAAAAACTGGTGGACACTAGCAACATTTTTATACCCATTGTACAGACTGCCACCTGATGTGACACCACCAGCATCCTGGGCATTGTTGGATACATGTTTTTTTGAAGTTATAATTTGTCGAATTAATTTCAGAAATGAAGGATTGATTCTAAAATCTCATTTTATAGGGGATTCTGGATAAAAAAAACTCGAATATAGTCAGAGAAGTCCACAGATTGAAAATCCAGGGACCCCGACATTGTACACCAAGTGAGGTAATCATAAAAAAAACGAAAATTGGGCGTACAGAACCAATCGAAGGACCACCGAGGTCTGTGGGACTGGCACCTCTCGATTTCTTCTATTCAGTCGCATAATTGCTTTTTAGACGGTATTGGTCGATAAACTATTTTAGGTGACCGCAGAGGACGAAATCTAGAGGTGTAACTTTGTGAGGTTTGGAGATTTTAGTAGCCATTCAATTACTTTCCACACTATGTGGCCCATGAAACATCCTGTATATTGGGACTAATTCTAAAGTATCTTATCTATCCAAAGGAGTCTAGGAGGCGAAAACTGCCATTTAAAAGTTGAAGCCTAGGAGTCAGTCATCACACTATCGGGTACTCTTCCCAAACTATAAACATTATAAAGCTTCATTTCATGGCTCGACCCCTTAGTTTCAGCTTACCCTAGCTCACTTACTGTATGTAGCACCCATAAGCAGGAAATCTGAAACACCCAATAATAAATGGAATTTCAGGACCGCCCTTCATTTATAGCCTGGTGTCTGGCTCGAGGAAGTCAAGTACTGTATCTCAATTCGGCTAAAACCAGGCGGAAGAAGGCACAAATGATCCAAGTATCCTAGAGGTCATAATGTACACGGAATGCAACTACGTGAGTCGAATTAGGTTAACATCCCTAACCCCTAAAACTAGTAAGGTCCATGCTTAGTTCCAACAACACATAACATAAGAACATGAACACGCACACACACACACAGGAAACAACTTTTTACCCCATTTCCAACGTGCTTCGAGTGGTTTGAAGTTAGGACATTTAGCAGACTTCAGTTTGGGTGGCTATTAACTGGCCCAAATCCTATTCCTATTCATATTTTTGGTATCAACAAGTGGAAGTGAATTAGGTTTGGTCTCCTTAGCCTCCACTAATTCTATTGATATAAGGAAACCTGATTACCGGGAGAAAACGTGCAATGATTGGTTGGGTCACACTGGGTTACAATATTTAGGCCCTCAATAAGGAGTACGAAATAAGCTGTACTGCTGTAGTTGTAGGCACGAGTCAGAAGTTAAACGGCACATGTTCGCCCACTCAACTGTTGCCGCCGTTCCTTGTTCTAAGTAGACGGCTTGTCACTAAATTTTTATGCAAATTACTGATTATATATTGTATTTTTTTATATACTTGTATACGTATTTTATATTATCAATGATAAAACATGCACCACCAGAGGCTGATCATACGAGAATATATAATAATAAATAAAGGCGTCTGACACAGTGCTCTGTGTGTTGGTGGTGTTGGAGGGTGTGTGTTGGAGGGTGTGTGTTGTTGGTGTGTGTTGGAGGGTGTGTGTTGGAGGGTGTGTGTTGTTGGTGTGTGTTGGAGGGTGTGTGTTGGAGGGTGTGTGTTGGTGGGTGTGTGTTGGTGGCGTTGGAGGGTGTGTGTTGGTGGCGTTGGAGGGTGTGTGTTGGTGGCGTTGGAGGGTGTGTGTTGGTGGCATAGGAGGGTGTGTTGGAGGCTGTGTGTTGGTGGTGTTGATGTGTTCCTGACACTGACACACACACACACACACACACAGAGGAATTAAGACAAGAAACATCCAGTGAGGGTCTTGTTCTATGACTGCCTGGTGGCGAGATAACATCAGCTGTTGAGGCGTGCTTGATATCACCGGTGCATGTTACCACTCCTTTCCACTCCATCTCTATCATTACCCATTCCTTTCTGCTTTCTCATTTCATATTTTAAAATGTTATGTAACGTAATGTTGAAGGAATGCAACTTTGCTCATTTATACTTATACTTATCACAATCTCACAAAAAAATACTTTAGCTTTTGTCTTTATTCAAGACATCTTCAGGTCATGAGACCCACTAATCCCCCACCCAAGAAAGGGTGACACTCTATTTAGTGAAACGGGTGGCTCAAATTAGTTCTTTAAATCGAGAAAATACTGTAGATGATTTTCTGATCAAGAGAGTGGTTAATTGGACATTCATTTTCTCCGTCACCTTGAAAACCATTCTCTTTTGTCGGATCACCAGTATGGCTTTCACCAGGCGAGATCTACTGGTGATCTGCTCTCCAACTGCACCCATCTTTGGTCATCCTCTCATAGGGTTTATAGGGACACTTTCGTCGTGGCCCTCGACATCTCCAAAGTATTTGACAGGGTATGGCACATGACTTTGCTTTCTAAGCTTCCCTCTTATGGTTTCTCTCACCCACTTTGTTCTCTAATTTCTAACTTCCTTGAGAACCGATCCATGGCCGTTGTTGTCGAGGGATCGATCTCTTGCTCTTTCTCTATCAATAGTGGTGTCCCACAGGGTTCTGTTCTTTCACCTCCTCTCTTCCTTCTTTTTATCAATGATATACTTCACACTACAACTAATTCTATCCATTCTTACGCTGATGATTCTACTCTTCACTCTTCTTCACATTTTCCCCTTCCCCCTAATTCTCAAACTAGATCTGTTTCTAGAGCCGATATCATTACATCTATCAATGCAGATCTGTGCAGCATCTCTGAATGGGGAAGTAGAAACGTTGTTAAATTCAATACAGTAGTAATAAAACTCAGTATTTACCAATTGCACTTTCCAAATTAGATGATCCCCCATCAATTACATTTCAGGATGCTATCATTCTGCCAAATTCTAATATAGATATGCTAGGCCTCACCATTTCCTCTAATATGTCATGGAAGCCACACATACTCAACATTGCTAAAGCTACCTTCCGAAAGCTGGGAATGCTGTAGCTACTTCACTCCTGAGAAGTTACTTCAAGTATTTAAGGGATTCATTCGTCCTAACTTTGAGTACTGCTCTCATATCTGGGGTGGCTCTTCTTCTGTCCAACTGTTAGATAGGGTGGAATCAAAGGCATTTCATCTTATTAACTCTCCTTTAGTTGATAATCTTCCTTCCCTTTCTCTTCGCTGCAATGTTGCTTCAGTCCCTCTCTTTTACAGGTACAGTACTTTAACGGGCAATGTTCGGTGGATTTGGTATCCTGTGTACTGCCGGCAAGGCCGTGGGCTCGTGACACTCGTCTTGCCCGTTGTGCCCACCGCTTCTCTGTGGATGTCGGTCACACTAGAATTAGCCGTTAAGAGTACGCCCTTCTTTCCTCACACAGCCAAATTGTGGAATGAGCCTTCTGTGTTTCCATACTCATACAATCTGCCTCGCTTCAAAAAGCTGGTTTTCCGGCATCTTTGAGGTGTAGATTAATATAATCTTTTTCTTTTCTATTTTTTTTGCCTCCTAGGACCCGTTGTGGGTCGATGACCTGTGCCCAGGTGGGCTATTCCCCGTAAAAAAAAAATTAATTACAATTATTCTGTTTCTTTTAGTATGAAAACTGCAATTTTTGCCTTGTTGCTTTCAACAATAATTGTTAGTAAATCAGGGAATATTTTCCATTCACAGGTTGCAAGTTGGTGTTGGAAATACTAATGCTAAGCAATAGGTAAGAAAATTAATGGAACAAGAAATAAGAACAAAAACATTTTCTACATTGTTAGCCTGACAAATGATGTGTACTGTATGTTTGTGTGAGTCAGTCATATTTAAACATATTTTTCTTGTCTTTACAGTATATTTATTTATTCTAGATTCTTGTTATCAGTAACTGGGAGGAGGAGGAGATAATTGTTCTGTGCCCATGTAAGTATAATAATTCAGGAAGATTTGGTAACAAAAATAAATGAAAATTAGGGCTTCTGTATTGAATGTTTTTTATCTAAACAAAAATGGAATTGTTTTTTTAATGACCTAACATAATGACTGCTCTTGTCAGAATAGGTAAGCATCTTGTGAGAACCACAGTACATACTGCAATATTGATTCAAACTAAGAAATAATTTGCATTTTAATTAGTTTTTCATACAACAAAATTGTAGAAAGATTCTGTACTTCAAATTTTTTTTTTTGAGGTGGTTTGGTGACTGTTCTATCTGTTTCACATAATTCGAGATGGAGTAAAGTTTAAAGGTGATGATGAAGTTTTCCGTGTCACTGTCATATCCTTCCCCCTCTAGCTCGGTGCTCCTGTCGGAAGGTTTCAGTAGAAGGGTCAGCATGCTGGATAACAAATGGTAACTACATTAGAAGTGACATACTGAAGAAGAGGAAGTCCACCAACCTCCTTGAAGAAGTTTCACTCACTAGGCCAATGCTTGGGTTTTTACCAAGCCAAGAACAGCAACACATGAATTCAGATGTTCTTCGTAATGTTATAACTATTAGTAAACAGACAGAGCAGCCAATACATAAAAGTGAAATCAAGAGAGTAAACATTCTCAAACAGTCGAAGTGCTTATTGGCTGAACTTGCTAAATGTATGGAGAGAAAAGACATCTTTGGTAACCATATGTCTGGTTCACAGAAGAAAAGTGAAGAGGAAGGTTGTGAACAGTACACCAAGGTGTTAGTTGAGGACATGCCACAGGTTGCTGCTATGTTCACTAATATGTCAAATACACCACATGAAAAATACATTATGGAAGTGGAGGAGAGATTTGTTTTGACACAAGCTGATGAGGGAGGCTTTTGGTGGATTGGTAAGTAAGTTTATTTCTCATATGTTTTATAATAGCCTTCAGATGGATGTCAGTACAATATTTCTGAAATGCTTTATTTTCTGTTTGGTTGAGTGGATACAGCACTCACTTCATGTTCCATGGAATGGTGGTTTGAATCCTAGGCACTCACAGTGCACCAACTGTAAATGCGTCCTGTACTAAGTTTACAACTTTGGGAAGCTTATGTGGTAGAAATGCAATACCGGCCATGCTGTCTCCATATGTGCCGAAGGCTTAGTATACAATGTGCTGTATCCACACTGTCACTTACAAAACAATTAGTGATGAAAATTTAACCACTTGTACAGTACCCTTAACCTTGGTCCTCTAACTTACACTGGAGTTAAATTTGTAGCAAAATTTAAATTTGTTTGTCTTTGGCCATTACAGATAGTCCCCAAGTTATGATCGTCTGAGTTACGGTCATCTGTACTTATGAACGGGATTCCATTACATTCATCACAAAAATCTGTAATTAGAATGACATTTTTTACATTAATTTCATTATTATATTTTGTTTGACATTACTTTGTTTACAGTATGTATGCAATATTATTGTTTTGTATGGGGAGGATTGTGCTTTAACCTAACCTAAACTATGGAATCAACACTATTCTGACTTAACAAATCGACTTATGATCAGGGTCCAGGAAAGTATCCCTGTTGTAAGTAGGGGACTTAATGTACCTTCTATAAATTAACCAATGGCGCGTGGCTGGGAGGTGGCGCATGGCCAGGAGGCGGGTGGTGAGGTGGCGGGGCACTGGAAGGATGCGGGTGGCTGGGAGGAGGAGGGTGGTGCAATGGCGGTAGTACAGTAGCTGGTTCTTTCTTGCTAAACATGGTGATTGGTGGTTATTTCTTCTTTGCTTTGAGGTCTTTAAACATTTCCTGGACCATCTTAAAGCTGCATTCCATGGAAAGGTTATGGTCAACAATGAAATCATTCACCATCTTTACTTGTTGAAATAGTTCACCAAAAATTTCTAAGCTCCAACCTTCTTGTTGTACTGTAATTCCATAATGTCTTCCTCTTCATTTTCCTCGGCACATTTTACCAATTCTTCCAAATCCTCTTCCGTAAGTTCCTCTTATTGCCCATCAATCAGCTCTTCCAAGTCTTCAGCGGTCATGTCCACAAACCCCTCACCACCCAACTGACGTGCAACAATAACAATGTCATACACACCCTTTATTAAGGATGCAAATCCCTGAAAGCTATTCACACACTGAGGCCATATGGTGCGCCAACAAGCATTCACTGTCTCTGGTTTGAGTTCATTGAATGCTTCACTGATGTTGGTAATACAGTCTGCAATGCTGTACTCCATCCAACACTTGCCAACATCAAGGTCAGGGTCTTCATCCGTGGCACTACGGATATGACCAAAAGAGCGGAATGTGTAATAAGCCTTGAAGGTGCATATTACACCCTGATCGAGAGGTTGGATAAGAGCAGTGGTGTTAGAGGTATGAATGCCACCTTTACACCTAGATTGCTAAACTGTAAACTTTCTGGGTGGCCTGGTGCATTGTCTATCAATAATAACACTTTGAGTTCCATATTCTTGGAAGCAAGGTATTTTTTCACTTCCAGGATGAAGTATTTATGGAACCAATCTAGGAATGGTTGCACCGTTACCCATACCTTTTTTGTTGGACTACCAAAACACTGGCAAAAGGTTCTTGTTTTTTCCCTTTAAAGCCCTAAGGTTTTCTGAGAGGTAAAGAAAGCAAGGCTTGAACATGTTGCCAGCTGCATTGCCACAGAAGATGAGCATCATTTTGTCCTTAGGTGCCTTGAACCCAGAGGCATGTCTCTCCTGCTTGTTTATATACATTCTACTAGACATTTTCTAACAATATAAACCAAATTCATCAGCATTAAACACTTCCTCTGGTCTATAGCCTTTCTCTTCTAATATTTTCTTTAACTTGGTGAGAAATGCACCTGCAGCCGTGTGGTCAGCTGATGCAGCCTCCCCAGTCAACTTCACTTTAAGGAGCGAGAATCTTTTTTGAATTTCTTGAACCAACCTTTACTGGCACAAAATGTTGGTTCAGTTAATGCACAAGCCCCTTCACCACCTGCTGACTCGCAAATATGAGCATAGAGACTTAGACGCCCATATTATTAAATAACATCTTCCCTTGAAGAGGGTCGTCGTGTTTTAACCCGAGTTTTAAACTAATCGAGTCCTGAGGGACACCGCAGTATTGTACCTAACGGGGTGGTGTGGCGGTAAAATTAACTAATTCCAATATTATAAATAAATTTTATTGGAATTAGTTAATTCATTCAAGCCAAACAACCGACCAACCACGGCAGCACTCGTCCCCTCCTTTAACTTGTCTAATATTTAAATTTTCTTTGCCAGGGTCATCTCTGACTTTTGCCTTTCATGTTTCACTCCACTAGCATCACTAGCACTGACACTAGGTAGTCTTTTTGGGGCCATTTTCACAAAAGAAAAAAAAAACAATAGGTTTGACAGTATGACACGGGATGCTACGTCACGGGTACTGGGTGAGGGCAAACAGAACGAGATGAGACGCCGCTGTAGAAGGCTTGCATGCTGGCCACCCGAGCCGCCAGCTGCTTACTGCGATTCGTCGAAACCGCGAATCGTAAACCCGCGAATGTGAAGGGTCAACTATATTTTTGTAGATGTGAAACTAGTTTCATTCAGGGCAATTAGTGTTTGTTTACCTTTTTCCTATATTTTTATTATTTATTCTGAAAATCTGTGACTTTCAATAATCCAGCCAGGGCAATTTACCAATTAGCATCAAATTTTTAGGTCACTCTGTAATGGGCTCTGCCTTTTAGGTGTTCAGAATGGTGTTTTGTCACAGATGACTCTTATTGGCCTTTGGGTATAAATTGGAATTTCATGCTTCCATTTTTCATTTACTGTATTCTTATGTTAAATGAAACTGCAAGTCACAGAGGCAGCTTAAATTAAATTTCTGCATTTTTATCTACAGTGGGAGAAAAAGAAGTATATGCAATAAGTGAGGATGCAGGACCATGCCCAGACCAGCTGTCTCCTGGCAGTAAATGGATTTCAGTGAGTAGCTTGGAAACAAACCAAAATATAGACCTCAATGTAGACATCAATATCACTGTTGTTTGTACTGAATGGGACTGAATTGTTCAATAGACAATAATAAATGTCGATGTTCCAATACCTCTATTCATTAATTTGTTCTCCATTCTCCTAGCAAACACAGCTTTCTCTTAAGTATGTCAGGTTACTGCACACTGGACCTAAAATTTGTGCCTAGGGAATTATCCAACACCTTGATACTGTTCCTATCAATTTGTAATTACAGTAAAGAAATTGATCCATAAAAATCTCAAAAGATTGTGTGGAGGTTTCTGGAGCAAATGACATTTAACAAGTTAACTGACTTTCCTCAAGATTTGTCTAGTGAATCTAATGAATTTTAGTACAATTTGAGTGACTAGGATGAGTAAATATGCTGGTAATGGTGGGGTAGTGGTAACATGTGTACCGTATTTTATGGCATATTAGACGCACGGAAAAAACTTTTGTGTGTTTTCCTCCTGTACAGTATCAGTAAATGTGAGAAATAAATAAAAATAATACCAAGTAATAAGTTACAACAAAAAATAATCGATTGCCAAACCAGTGAATAAAAGCCATATGAAAGTTTAACACAGTCGCCATTTGCATATTCTGCACTGTACATCTGTACTCCCTGTTTATCATAGTAACGGCGTCGCTACCTCGGCCGATTCCCTAGCAACACTCTCCCCCCGCCACCAACCGCCCAGCTGTCCTCCTGCTCCCTCACTAAGCCGGCTAACTCGTGTGCAAAGAAATGTATACTGTATTCCTTTCATGTGTTTGCCCTTTGGACAATTATTTATTTTACCTTTTTCTCAATATGTATGTATATCAGTAAAAAAATAAAAAGAAAGTTACATATATCTAACAGAAAATACAAGTTGAAAAACAACAGCTTGGCCCAGTAGCCTGGTTACAGAAACGAGTCTAACCTGGCTACAATGCCGCCAGCAATGTAAATGTGTAAAGAAGGTTATCTGTAAATCTTCATTTGTATCAGGTATTTGTAGATTGAAAATTAAATTTTACAGGTATGGCATTAATAGATTGTAATGCTTGAAGGGTTCAGAAATAGTTACTGCTTAGCTACCTCTGAAGAGTTGGGTGTCTGCCATACGGAAGGTAATCATCTCAGGTTATTATCAACAGTACAGTACAGAGTAGCTATAGGTCGACCTTTTATATTTACAATAATTATTTCTTAATGAATTAAAAATAATAATAATGTGTTTAAGTAAGCAATAACATATTTTTAATTCTGGAGTTGGGTAAGGTAGAATTTAGCTTGCGGGAGACCGCAACTTCACATATAGGACACAGGCTGAAATTTGGAGTCATAGTTCAGACAAAAAAGTGCGTTTTATGTGCTGTAAAATACGGTACTTCTCGCCAATATGTCAAAGGTTTGAGTCCTGCACTAATTGTTCCGGCTAACGGAGATATCACTGTACATACCTTACATGAAGCACTAAAAAATTTATTTATTACAGAATCCCCAACTGGTATTTTTATGCACATGTAGTGTATGATAAATTTTCCTAACTGTTCTGAGGTTGAAGATAATAATTTGGCTAATGTAGCAAATTGTTATAACACATAGGTAAAGTTGATGTGTATCATACTACTATGCAAATAGGAGTACAGCTGCTCCCCAACTTACGACGGGGTTAGGGATCGACATCCAGGTCGTAAGTCGAAATGGTCGTAAGTCGGAAATGCTTAAATAACACATAGAAAATCGAAAATGGGGGTCTCTTTTTCTTCTCAGCACCACAAAACACTCACTTTTAAGCTTACCAGTCATTTTAAAGTGAATTACAGATGAAAATTTTGTCTGTGTACTAACTTTGGGACTTGAAAATAAGTAATTTGACCAAATTTTGGCAAGACTGAGGCAGGTCGTAAGTGAGGGTGGACGTAAGTCGAGTAGGTCGTAAGTGAGGGTGGACGTAAGTCGAGTAGGTCGTAAGTTGGGGAGTAGCTGTATACTTTATTGTAATATTGTCTTTGCCTATGTAAATACAGTACACTTTAGATTTTAATGAATAATTTTTTGAAACAAGATACAGATTCAGCATACGTAGCCAAAATAATAATAATTCCCATGAGCATATATGTACTGCAGCACAGCTATTAGCTCTTGGGAAGACAAGCACTGGAAATTTGCAATCAGCCCAGGTTTTAACTTCAGGTGATGTGTGTAATGCAATATTATGTGGAATAAAATTTTCTATAAACTTGTGCTTTGGTACTATGACAAATTTTTTTTAGTCTTATATCAGATCTCCCATAACAAATAATTTGAGTTTAATAAACCGATGTACAGTAGCTAAAGCAACTATCTGTGCAGGTGGGGGTTGATATGCTCCAAAATTTTACGTGACTAGTGATAACCCTCATATACCATTATTTATCGTCCATGGTCTCATATTGTTTCCCACAAAGTACAATATGCTCTGATAGTTGTTTTAGCTACTGTACAGTAAAGTACTTACCCTTTAAATTTTTTAAATAATATACTGTTTCCTCATCCCATCTTCTATGAGCAATTATAATGCAGGTGCTACATATGACAGCACCAATCCTGCCTTCAACAATGTTTTTCACCAAAAAATTTGTCAACATTGAAAACAAATACAGAATATTTCACTGTCCAACAATATCCTTATTAATATTCATAAAGTTGCAAATTAACTATTATTCGTGAATGAAACTGTTCCTCAATTTTTGTGATCCAAAGTGATTACCCAAACTAGTTGTGTAAGGGGTCCACCTTTATGCTAAATAAAATCATCTGGTGTTAGCCATATAGAATATCAAAACTGGTATCCCCATAGTGAAAGGTTAAGATTATTACAGTAAATAATACCAAAATTAAGAAAAGTAACTGGAATACTGTTTTCACTTCACTGAAAAAAAAACCACTATGTTGTGCCCAGTGCACCAAATTATTAAAAAAAAATAGAACCCCTGCTATAAAAATTACTCCAGATGTTATATATGTTGGTGTTGGATCACCTTAAACACTGAATGAAGCAAAGATGATTACTTAAAAACTGTCATCCTATATAGTACAAGTAATAGTAACAACTTTACAATATTAAAGCCTCTGTTCAAAGTGCTGTACAGTAATCTAAATGATAAAAGTAACAAACAAATGATCATTGTGGCCTTAGAAGGGTAGCAGAGGTTCCCACACAGCTATGTTTCATAATTACTTGATACTTAGTATTTAAAGTATACTGTACTAGGTAAATAATGGATATTAAATAATAAATTAAAATTATTGGTTCATATGAATTGCTCTGTGTTAAACACATGATCAAGAGGGGAGTAACTGGGCTTTTTCGGCTTGACAGTTTATTTTTGGTGTACATTGCTTAATACTATTGAATAAATAAGGTGCCTGACATAGAAGGAATTCCTTGGAGAGGAGTATATATTGTGGAAGGAAGACTTACTGGAAAGTTTTTGAAGTAGAAAAGTACAGTGGTTCATAATGTGGCATGCTGTATGTATGTAATCCATGGCTTTACTAGACAATATACAGGTAATAGCATTGCCCATTTAATACCATTATTTGTTTATGATTACGGTATATTAAAACCCCTGTAATATTACCTCATGGTGTATTTTAGATAAAAATATAAGATTTGCAAAATGGCAAAGTTTTCACATTCTCAAGCAGTGTCTGCCTTATAGTTTGAGTATACAACATTATACCATACTGGGAATGCTGGGGAGTGTATCACTGTGGCAAGAGCTTTGTTATACAATATTGTACTGGAATTTTCACTGTTCCAGAAGCCGGTGCAATAATTAGCCTGGTACAGTAGTGATGTATTCCTATAATATGAAGTTGTATGCAATCTACCTTATACATGTACAGTACACACAATCAAAAAAGTTTCTATGAACATTAATTCCGATGATTTCCTAAATGACCAATACACCTATGCCGCAATGTAACCACCAAGAACCGAGCTGCAAATTGTTTGCAAGATTAATATTTTTTCTGAATTTGCATATACTGTAGTAACAATTTTTGCTATAGATAAAACAGGAAATGTTGCCACCAAGCAATGTACAGTATGGCATTTTGCAATATTCATTATCTGTGGTATCAGACTGTTTCATGCGAGATGTGCACATATACTTTTTTGACCGCATGTATCTGTCACATTGGGATGGAGAGGATTGTGATTCTATGGTTCAAGCAGAATGCTCCGTACAGCTTCAAATAATACTACCATATTTTATCCATCCATATTTTTGTATAGTACAGTAAGGCTTCCTATGTAGTATCGTAAACAAACCTCAATCATTGAATTTTGTGAAAATCTACATACAACAGTCTGACTTTGAAATACAATCACATCTTACTGTTGAATTCCCAGATATTTTCTGTGGTAGTAAAGGCAGTTCCTCACGCTGACTTCTCATCATGTTCATCTTTAGTGTTAAATGCTAGATTGCACCAGTCAGGAACAGTATCATTTATAATGTACTGGTCACGTGGCAAAGACCGAAGAACAACAGCTTCTGTCCCTCCTAGGATGGCACCTGAAGAAAGATATTTGGTTACATACTGTATTAAACTATCGAACACTAAATAACAGTCATCAGTATTTTCACACCAACTTAAATTAAAAAAAAAAATAAATAAATAAACAATCTTTAATTTCTAAATCTGACGAAACTATAAATCTATGTACTTTAGATCCTTCGGGAATCATTATTCATACCTTTCGTGTTGACCAGTTTTTGCAACTTATTTTCACTATCTGTGATAACAGGTATTATTTGCATACTGCATTTTATATGTACGGTAGTGGAGGAATGAAAGCTTACCTCCCAACCATGCCACATAGTTGTCTTTGGCTGGAGGGTGATGAACCTTGAAGGAATTGATCTGCAGTACATCTGAGAAAGGTGGTGATGTGACCAATGCCCGAACTTCAGACAAAATCCGATGTTTCATGCCCTTCAGACTAGCAGTACCACCAATGAGAACTAAATTCTCCGCAAGAGCACGCCTTGTATCGATGGGACACTGAAAATCCAATTAAAAAAAATTAAAATGAGATGCCATTTCCAGTTATGATAATCAAATAAGACTAAACATTCACCATAGCTGATGAAACAGAATCTTTTACCTCTGAAACTGCTACTGTGATAAATACTGGATTACTAAAATTAAGGGATCACCTGAAGACTCTCCACCCCAACTTATTTCACCCAAAGATATGGGAGGATGAGGGTAGTTAATCTTTAGGTGAAGTAAGCTGGGTTGGAGATTCTTCAGGTGATTTACATTGAGAAACACTTGTTAATGCCATCCTTTCTGCAATTACTGCTTCCCCTTGGCCAAATCCACACTACTCCACTAATTTATTTTTGTAATACAGTACAGTACAGTATATAGTAATACCATGTATTAAGTATCCAAAACAAGTGATTATTCTTTCCCTTCTCATTTTAGTTACCCTAATTACCTATCACTTTGTTCTGGCTATCCTGCATCACTTCATTCTTGTTAGCTACCTTAATTATATTCCAAACACTTAACTTGACTTAACTTGTATACCAATTACAATAAATATGCAAAAAAATATGGAGTCCCAAATATTTTGTTGATAAATGGGAAGATAAATGTAGGAGCAATTAACTAGGACAGATGGGTGCTAATAAAATATACTGTATATGTACACCTCCAGTGTAAAGGAGTGTAAAGTTTATTCATACCTTCATAAGAGAGTTAAGTATCATGGAAGGGACACTGAGCATGTCTTCATCTCGTTCAAAGAGAATTTCTGTTACCATTTCTCTCACAGAGCCAGGAAGGGTAAGGATGCGGCTGCCAGACATAGGGTATTGAACACTTGGTGGAGGAGGTGGGGGCTCCACAGCTCTGTCGTATTTGTTATTTTGTAGGCGTCCACTCCGATCAAGGGAAGTGACAAAACATGTGCGAGCTGTTGAGAAAACTTTTTATAAAAAATGTGGGAGAAAATCTGATTATTTGAGAAATTGATTCTCAAAGCCTGCTTCATAACTGAAGTCAAATGAACAGTCCTGAGAAAAAGAGTTCCTTCCCTAGGAAAGCCAGGTAAAATCAGAGGTTGCACATGTCTGCACAATGTACCAGTAAGTGTGGTACATTCTCTCATAGGTGTACATTTGAGTTGTATTTGGAAGAAAAATAATCCACATATAATAACTAAGGACAAGAGGATAAAACTACAACTTCACAAACTGTTTACCTCAAAGAATGATTTGTAATCTAAATAAGATCTTGGGATAGCTGAGAGGAGAAACCAACCCCTAACAAGCCACAAAGGTTCATCATAGAACAATCCTTTGGAACAGTAAGAGCAGTGCACAGAACCAACAAGAAATCTGATCCCATCCAATCCACAGAACATCTATGACTGGTAATATCTATACAGACCTACCAATCACTAGGCAAAGGAATCAAAGACTGGCGATTTATGTTCAGCCACCAGAAATGAAAGCGGATTTACAGGCTAAGCTGGCTTCCTGAACCAGTCTCCACAATGTTTATTTTTTGTCAGTGTCCTCCACCCTCAGCCCAATGCTGTACTGTAGATGTTGTTTTACAGCCATATCCCTCCACCTTAATTTCTGCTTTCCTCTAGATCTCTCTCCAGGATCTCTGGATTGCCGCCACCTCCTCACACCATACCACTTGGCCAAACCATCATAGACTTGCCTCTCTCTGTTTAATCCCCCCTGTAATTTCCACAGACAATAATGTCACATTGTCAAACTTTTCCTCCTGTATCTATTCGCCTATCCACACTTCCATTAACAGATCCAGCAGCCACTCTTCCTTATCCTTGAACACCTTCACCAGCTCCACTGCTATTTCCAATGATCCACAAGCCTTCCCAATCTTGATCCTATTGAAAGCCATCTACACCATCTCATACTGGATATCCATCACTGATCTCTCTATTGCTACCATTTCTGTAATACCAGTAGTTTGACTCTTGCTTTCCACATTCAGCAGTCCTTAACAAAACTCTCCACTGACTACTATTAATATTTTATTTTTTGTACTGTATAGTGTAGTGTTCCAGTCTTCATTTCACACTGCAACCATTCTTCCTAGGTCCTGCTTTTTCATCAACCTCACCTTTACAACCCCATATGTAGATGGTTTCTCTGCCTCTGGTGTCTTCTTTGTGTCATGCCACTCCTGCGTCACTTCCTACCTCACTCTACCTAATGTTCTCATATCAGTGACTAAATGAGGTGATATGGATACTCTGACTTTATGGGATGAAAGAAATGTACTAAATCTCACAACAGAGTAAATGTGGTGAAACCGTTTGTACCAAGATTTACAACAATGACCGAAGATGTGGTGAAACAGGTGCATTACGGTAAGCCTTATAAGATAACATTAATTAATAGCTGCTGGATATTTAATTATGCTGATCTTACATTAAAAACAAAGTTAATCATGATTTACAATTACGTACAGTACTTTAAAGATTTCATAACTATATACTTTGTTTGTGTATGGATCAACTTTAACAAAAGAACACGTAACAGTGTAACACACAGATGAGATAAAATAAAAATATGAATATCCTAGTCAAAGAGAGTGGATGAAACAAGAATGAGAAATTGGAGAAGATATCCAGTAAGTGATCACAGCCAAAAGTTCCATCAATGGTAACTGTACCTTTAATATCTTCTAAGACCTTATCTGACAACTGCTCAACAACTGCAGATAGTCTCTGCTCTTTTCCATCTTCTCCTACAGTCAAGGCACGGTCTAATAACAGCTCACACAACGAACTGTAAGTGAATATTAATGTGAATATTGACACAAGCATCTCTCATACAGAAACACAACTTTGTATTGTTTTAAAACCACAGTCAAAGATCCAGAGCCTTATTTATTTCAATTTGATATCGCCATTGTGATGTCTAACACAGAACAATAACAAACAAACAAATGACATGACTTGCCAAAGTGGGTTGGCACAAATGGAATTCATTAAAAATAAATACAGTAGAGTATTTGTTAACTTAAAGCATGAAAATTTCAAAAGGAATCGTTTGGTATTTTCAATCTATATACAGTAGACTTTTAAATATTGTATTTATGAAAATTATTTAAAACTTTTTAATCATGGTGATGTAAATTAGAACACTGCTTTCGTCAATTACTGAATAAGGTTTGCCATAAAGCTTGCTGCAAAAAGCAAAAGAAATCCAACAATTCCAGTTATTCAACTACCCCAATTTGATGTTTATACCTGTGAATAGCTTTTCCTCCTAAAGGTAAAGCCTGCCAAGCACTGAGGATTGGCACACTCTCATATATAGGCACAACTGTGGTCTCGTTGTATCCAAGGTCTACTACTAGACCAGTGTTCATTCCTAGAGTCATCAGTGATACTAGATGGGATGGAACAAACAGCAATGACAACACCTGCAACAACAATCATAATATAACCATAAGATTCCCAAATATTATTATTTAACATTAATCTGTATTTTACCTACTATTACAGCACTTAAGAATTTATGATGAAAAATTTCCACCCTTAGAAAATTAGTAGTGAAAATACTGTGACAAAATATTAAGAAGTTGGCTTAAGATACTTGAACTGCCCAGTGAAGTGTAACTGGCCATAAATAAAGGATTGAACCTGAAATCCCATTTTATGGCTCGGATACCCCTCTTCCTTATTGGGGTTTGTGTGAAACTCTGCCAGATTAAATGGGGGACTGACACGTGGAAGACCAGTATAGTTGTCTTGAAAGAATGAGAAGGTAAGCACAAGCTTATGTAATTTCATGTGTTTGTTTAATCTCTTCCCTATGCTGTCCAAGAAAGGAATACCTCTTTTTCCAAGTAACCTTTGTTAGGACTATAGTTGCTGTGGGAGTGGCTTACTAATTATTTAGTACCAGTTAATAAGGTAAGGTCTCCTGGGTGTGACTCTAGAGAAATGGCTTAAAGTAAGTAAAATAAGCATTTATACTACTGTAATTCCAACACCTAATACCTAGCTTGATTTTTATATGGGATTTAAGAAACAATCCTTCATTTCCACTTGGCTCTGACCCTGAGGATAAGGTAAGCTCTGCCAGGTTGTGTTCTGGCAGGTAATCTCATAGGTTATTTGACAAATGGCCTGCAAGCCATAAATTTAAAATGAAGAATGCTTATAAATGGATTCAAATGTTTCATAAGATGCTTTCTATATTTGGTAATATTGTAGTATAAATGAAGAAAAAAAAGATTACTATGAGGTACAGGGTATATATTAAACAACTTTTATAATTAGCATAAAGTAATCCAACAAACATCATAACAAATATCAGCATAGATGAAATTATGACACTATACCTCATAATGGCGGAAAAAAACCTTGGCTATAGCATTGCGCACACTGCTTGGACCAAGCAAATTCTCTACTACCACCACACGTCTGTCTTTGGGGTTCACAAGAAGGTTTCTGCAACAAAAAAAAGAGAAACAGGGACAGTTTCAAAGAATTCTTATTACCCTACTCATTAGACTGCCCTATCATCTGTAGATCAAATGCTAAAAGGGAAAGCAGAACAGGAGTAGAGTAGTTCAATATTTTCAAAAGAGATTACAATAATAAAGAAATGAAATCATAACTCTTCTGCATTACAATCAAGCAATAAAAGATGTTAACCCGTCTATCTAAATGTATCCAATAAGTCAACCTCCAATATCCAAAGTGGCAGCTTCTGCATCCTCCTCTATGCTTCCCTTACCTTGTACAACTCCAGACACTACTCCAAGTTTACACCAAGTTTTCCTCATCTTCCTATCTAGTTTGCTTACTTATACCGTATCATCTTATTCACCTTTCCCTTACTGATCAATGATCCATCAATTTTTTTTTTAAATCAAAGTGCAAAAGGAATTTTGGCATGTGAACCAGCATCAAGGTACAGTACTGTTTAACTACTGTAACTTTCATATATTTACTTGATTCTTCAGTATTATGATGACAATTATCATGTATAGGGTACTGTATTACTGTACAATGCTTATTTAGGCATTTATTGAAGGAAGATCATTCAAAGAGCAATTTTATGGCATTTGCAAATATTACAAACTGGAGCTTGTCTGGAATCTATCCCATGTTAATAACAAGGGATACATGTGTATACATACCAGTACAGTATATACTGTATATATATTGTACAGTAAACCCTTGATATTTGCAGTTTCTGGATTTGTGAGCTTCATCTATTTGCAATTTAGTCCAATTCCCAATTTATGGCCCCTAAACTCTAGCATTTGTAAATCTTATAGGGGTTGAAATGCATGTTATGTTACTAAAATAGTACTCACCTGAAATAAAGTTTGTGGATGAAGTCTACCAGATGGTGTCTCAATTCCTCATCATCTTTAGCCTCAAACACTGGCACAATCTTCCCAGTCTCTCGGCACTTAACTTCAGATTTTGTTATTACACGTGGTCCAGTTTCTCCAGCAAACCCAGCTCTGAAATTAATATAGGGTGTGATACAAAGAATAGTCTAAGACTGTGAAGCCCCTCTTTATGGCCGGAGATAAATAAAGATGTGAGCTGTGAAACTCACTCACCTTGAGATATGGTGCCCAAAATGCTATCCAACTCCAGTAATATGGAAATGCTGATGGTCTCGGTCAAGTTAAGTGATGTAGGTATGAGCTCCATACCTCATTACATTCTATAAAATGAGTAAAGGATCTAAGGTGGGTAGGCTTAGTTTATTTGAGGGCAAAATAAAATTATATTAAACATAAATGCCGGTACAGAACACACCCGACAGGAACCAACACTTATGTGAAGACTGTGGTCAAACGTTAGTAACATGGAGAAAATTTTGGATATTCAGTGACCCAAACCATCAGGCGTCAAGTGTTGGCAACCACAGAACAGTAATGAGGGATGGTCAAACCTGGAAACCAATTCACACCTTTCAATTGGACTGAACATTTTACTAACTTCGTATAAGATGATCCAAAGTCAATAATCACGGTGATATTCTTCTCGTTGATTAGCCCTATACCACCCAAACCTTCGTATAGAGGCATTATGGCTGTAAATTATGTTTTAAAACACTACAATTTAGCAAAAACAGACACAGATCTGTCTCAGCCCCGCCCGTCTGTGTTTACATCTCACCAACCCTCCCAGGATGACGTCATTCCTCTCATAATTTGTAGGAGGAGGAATATTAATAAAACTCGAGAAATATTCCACCAACATAATATTAATATCACTGAAATTTTTATATATTTAACAAAAACCTATATTTTATTGACATGTAACGATATATATACGAGAATCATTGGATAATATATATATATAAGAAATTTTTGTGAAGTATTTACGAAAAATAATTATAAATAAAATAATAATTTAATTAATTAAATCATAAATTGTGCAAAATCTGAACACATAATTTGTAATGAAGAGTTATTGGTAAAAGTTAATTATATTGTGAACGGGAGATGTTATTATCTTGGTCCATCTGACTGTGAGTGCTCCACCTCTCAACCAAGACATATACTGTATCTGTATTACTTACTCCTGACGGTAAGGGACTGGGGAAGGAGAGGGATTCTACATAACGTACACATACAGATCTGTAATTTACTTTAAATACAGTGGATGGTATGGTGGTGACACTACGTTAGAGTATACATAAGATTCACGAGATTATATACATTGACACACCTAATTACTATTTCAGGTGATTAGTGGGATGCCTTATTTGCGAAACCTCTTCTCTTAGCCTGCAAGTTTCACTATTACCGAAAATAATAATTAAATCACTGTGCGTTATCACGATTGAAAGGAATATTAGGTCATTTAATGATAGTAGCCAGGTTTCGATTTTTCCTTAAAAGGATACGTTTTTCACACAGTTCAGACAATTCTAAGACACTTTTCTTCAATGGAGTTTCCGTCGGAAATTTGTATTTGTCGAGTATTTTAATAGATCAAATTACCAACTATTATTTGTTTAAATTGGGCAGTGGGCAGGGCTTTGAAGTAGTGGGAAAATGTGGGGTAAAATACTTAACAAACAGATCTTTGAAAACCTGACCTAACGTTTCCTAACCTTTAAAAATCCTAAAACTATACAAAGCTTATTTCATGTTTTTGGATTTTAGTATGTGTTGTTTTCGGTGTTCAGATAGGAGGGATTCATAAACAAGTTATTCTTAACATTTTTACAAGTTAGGGAACATTAGGTCAGGTATTCAAAGATTTTTTTGGTGTTGTTTGGGGTGAATTTATAGTCTTGCACCGGTCTTTCTTTCGCTGTTATTAATATGTATTTCGTAATGTTTAGACATTTTTCTAATATGATATTTCCACCGAAAATTAACGATAACCGAGATATTAATTTTTCAATATTATTACATTCACTCAGTCACAAGTTTGGACAAAGTCTTGATATAGCAATGGACACTTGCACAGAGGCATGATATAGTGATGGTCAGAGGCATAATACAGTGATGGACTGAGACATGATAAACCCTGTAGTGATGGACAGAGGCATGATGTACCCTGGAGTGATGGACAGAGGCATGATGTACCCTGGAGTGATGGACTGAGACATGATAAACCCTGTAGTGATGGACAGAGGCATGATGTACCCTATAGTGATGGACAGAGGTATGATATAGTGATGAACAGAGTCATGATATACCCTGTAGTGATGGACAGAGACATGATATAACTTAAAGTGATGGACAAAGGTATGGTAGAGTGATAGTCAGAGGCATGGTATAGTGATGGAAAGAATCATGATATACTGATTGGCAGAAGCATGATATAGTAATGGACAGAAGCATGATATTACTCATGGAGATAGACAGAAACATGATATAGTAATGGACAGAATTCCTGATTATCACGAAAAGGACAAATATAATATACAGGTAGTTTTACTTGGGGTTCTTTCGTCCAATTGTCATTTTTATTATGTGCCGCCAGATCACTTGAAGACTTGGCTCCCTAGCCTATATCACCTGATGATTAAACACCCAGCAATTGTGTGTAAATGAAGCAGAAAGTCAGATCAGCAACCTGGGACTTGGTCACAATTTTCGTGATATCATATGGCAGCAGGGTTTACCATTAGACAATACATTATGCTTCCAATATCTTCCCAGGCAGTAGTATCTCCCTGTTTGGTAACTGCCAACTACCTAGTGTCTGGTAAAATACCTGTAAAAGAGAGTAGAGTGAAGCAACATTGTGGCGAAGAGAAAGGGAATAAAGATTATCAACTAAATGAGGAGAGCTAATAAGACGAAATGCCTTTGATTCCACCAGAACTAACATTTGGGCAGAAGAAGAGCCACCCCAGGTATGAGAGCAGTACTCCAAGTTAGGATGAACGAATCCCTTATATATTTGAAGCAACTGCTCAGGAGTGGAGTAGCTACAGCACCTGTACAGCATTTCCAGCTTTCTTTTAAGTTCTTTTAGTTTTCTTTTTGCAAGTTTTGTATAAAAGACAATTCCATTCCTTAGAAAGAATGAGGTGATTGTGTAAAATGTTATATATGTTCCTCTTTGTGTAACACTTTATACTTTAGTAGGTAGTGATAAATTACCTAAGTTTGAGCAGTGTTGGCAAGCCATTGGTGCTGAGGAGGCGAGAGTCAAGTAACCTGTGGATCCATTTTATCTTATCATTACACAATGTCCTTATGTCTGCTGTCTCTTTTGTAGGTAAGTTACCCCCTTGGTTGTGGTTACAAGCTTACACCTATCACAAGGTGGCGCATGTGGTAAATTTTACACACACCTGCTAATTGTACCTTGGCATAATTATGGTATTTCATTGCTAATGATATTAGTTGTATAAATATTGCTTTATGTACACATTTGTCACAATGTTGTTGAATTAAAGGTGCTGCAAATATGTGTCAGTTTAGTAAGTGTTGTATCAAAGGAAACTGTTTCAATGCTTCTTGTGTGTACTGTATTTGAACATGCACTATACTGTACTCGTATAGTCGGAACCATTAGGACATGTTAACATTTCATAATGGCTAATAATCAGATTCTTAAGCCTTATCAGTCATGGGTTTGAGAACAGCACGTATACTGTATATATTCAGCTCAACTTAATGTGCGAGTGAAATGCCTATATTTGTACTCTGTACACACGCTTGTGGTGACAAGTTTATGACATACAGAGACATCTGTTTAATATTGTTATGCATTTTCATAGATTTAAGTTATTTCATAATGACCAAAAATAGGGTTATGCTGCATGCAATATGGTTACATAATACATATGACGATATAAAAAAACAAGCAAACATCATGAGAGAAAGGGAAGTTACTTCATTTTGTCTTATCCACCTCCCTACTGTGGACTTCCCGATAATTGCACCTCATGTGTCCTTTGTGGTTTTGGCCTTTGATCCTGTGGGTGATTCATGTGGCTACCAGTCACACCTATCAAGTCATCTTCAAATAACTGAATGAATCCTTGACTCCATATTTGTATCTTATAGTGTGGATGAATGGATGATAATTGTTCTTAACATTCTTGAATCTGGTTTCACTAGTCAGCTCTGAGAGTATGTGAGATACTAGTACCACAGGAGGCACCAGACATTGGTTGATCATGTTCCCTGTGATTTCCACAGATAACAATAAAGAAATGTGTAGTGAAGAGGAGTTGCAGCATCACTTCTTTTCTTATAGACCTTCCCTTTTTTAGTAAGTGGAATAACTTTTGTTATGTTGTACATCCTTCTCCCACTTCTATGACTTGCTGCAGTTATGACAGCTGCCTGACACAGGGTACCTGACCAGATTGAGGATAGATCCTGTAAGGTAATCAGTTGGGGACTAAGTTTTCTGGGTTGATCCTGCTCCAAGATAGATATGCTGAATTTGAATTGGTTGGAAGAGTGTTGCTTGCTTACAGAGTTCTGATGGGAAAATATCGCACTCACTGCTTAGATGCCTAGAATAAAATAATGAAATAATGAAAGGCCAGAAAAACATAATTACTAACAAACTAAGAGTTTCAATAAATGCCTGAAATGTTACTCAAGTAAAATAAAATTACTGTACCAGGAAAAAAGCTATTTTAAAGTACTGTAATATATACAGTATACGTACATTACAGGTATTCAAAAAAGGTGTTGGCTCAGTAACTGTCCAGCTTTGCTGTTAAAATATTGACACTAAACATATCACAATGAGATCTTTATAGGTTATTTCCTAGCCAGTTAAATGTACTGTACCATATAATTGAAATGAGAGTTTGTAAAGAAAAGTGTACAGAGGGGCATGGCAGGCAGGTGGTGGACGAATTAAGGAACATCAATTGTTGAAATATTCCTCTACCTGAGACTCGATAAAGAAAACACTGTTTGGAAAATGAGAAAAGGATTAAATATCTCTCATTCTAAGCTAATTTTTCTAACATAAAACAATTGGAATACACATACACTAGATGTTCATAAAAATACATTTAATTGGGCGAGTGTTAGTTCTTTTGGTGTTGGTTGGGCGGATATCGATAACAACCTGGGGAGATGGCTGAGCCAATCAGTGCCACACTGGGGGCCCTGTGTCACAGCCACACCGTTCTTCCTTCTCCTCTTCAGCACTCACCCACTACACGCCCCTTCAAATACAGGTACATCTAATTTTCCTGATGCTGGTGATGACCTGGGCTCTTGGGATGTCATTCATTCTCTTTTACAGACTCTGGTGATAATTTTCACCATAGAAGAGGGATTTTTGCGCACATGTCGAGGTCATCACTAATATCTTCATTATAAGTGAAACCTTGGAAAAATACTCTAATGCACCATGTAAATTGAGGGATTTACTGTAATATCAAATTTTTTGTACTGTACTGTATACCAATTGCATTGTCTTAACTGTGTGTTTATCCTGATACTGTATTTTGTTTGTGATTTAGTTTCTCTATGTAAATGATGGTAATCCAAGCTTTATCATGGTAGAGAGAGAATGAAAATTGTGGTTGATAAATCACATGTTAGTGTTTTATGGTAAGTTTATTTTAGTATGTGGCTTGTACTATTGTTATCTTGTTATCTTGACAACCTTTATCAGTGACCAGCCTGAATAGTGGGAGATTGTATTACAAGGTCAATAAGTTTATACAATTACAGTACAGTGATAATTATGGTTTTTATCTGGTGTTTGCTTCTTTGCCATTGAATGGTATCCAAAAGCAACTTAGCTCAGCCAGATATTACATTATTGATTTTTTGGTTCTTGTTCATAAATCCAGTACGTACATTGTATGTAGCTGGGTTGATCTGGATTTGAAATTTTGTGTCTGTATCTATTATTCACACAGTTTTCTGACAAATGCATTCCTCCATAGAAATATTTGGGGTGACAGTAGGAAATTGAAATGCTTATAAGTGTAATACAGCTACACCTGTATTAACTCATTAAATTTTGTCTCTTGAGTTTATAAGCCTTAGGGTAATTGAGTAAAATACCACAGGATGTGCTTCTCTTCACTTGGCCTTCCTTAAAACTTATATATACAGTGCCGTATCTGTCCTCTGAATTTTACTCTTTTCTTGGTAACGTGGATGCTTTCTTGCTGCTTTTGTAGTCTTATGAGATGTTTTTCTTTCTACAGACAAAAATGGAAGTTTCCCATAAATATCTTGTGATGGCTCAGGAGTATGTCAATGAATTATGTGAAGGTAAACCAGCTTGGGAGATTATCTTGAGGACAGCAGGAGCGACCATCCTACTAGCGTGGGCTAAAAACTTTCTCTTTAAAGATGAAAGTACGGTATTTATTTTGCAACTGTTATTTCCTTTCTCTATTCAAACTTTACTTCCCCTACACAAACTTGATGCTTACTACTTTAGTGTGTAATTTTTGGATAGTAGCAATATTTTGATGATTATAGTTTACCCAGCTGAAAAGTAGGAATATGATTATTGGACATACTGTACTGTACCTTAGTGTATATAGATAGTATTTATTGATTTATTTCATATATATATATATATATATATATATATATATATATATATATATATATATATATATATATATATATATATATATATATGCTGATAACCACAATGCTGATATATATATTTGTTTTTCAGCTCTCTTTGAAAGGGGAAAAAAGACAGTGTTCAAGTTGGCTAGAAAGGTTCCAACAGTGAAAGCCAAAATTGAGGAGGAAATAGAAAAGGTTTGTGATTTTAAAGTTTGTTTTGAACCTTTAGTTGGAGCAGTGAGTAAAGCAAGATTAGACCAGAAAGGTTTCAGCCAGTCTAGAAAGTTATTTTTATAGTATTGTACAGTACTGTACTCTACTTTTATGTGCACTTTTTATAAGTCACAGTTCCACCCAAACTTAAACCTTGGTGTTGCAGCTGTCCATCTTTAAAACATTATGTAAACATTAACCCCTTTACCATGAGGATGCCATTCTTAATATTTTATTTGTTTACCACCAGACAATTTTATTCAGCAGAGAAGGGACCCCATGCACAAGAGTTAAGCTTTAGCTGTTAAAGTTAGTGGTATACCCACATAAATGTTTTTATATCTTAACCTGTTTTGTATTGCACATGTACAGTCCTGAACAAAAGACATATTACCTCTTCTGCTGCTCCACGAACTCTGAGATTCAGATTCATGAATCCGAAACATCCATGGACAAAACAATGCATCAGTTTTTATTGCTTCGGGTTCACGAGTCTGAATCTCTGGGTTTGTGGAGCTGCAGGAGAGGTTATAGGTCTTTTGTTCTGGACTGTTCATATAACTTTCATGCAGGTGTAAACGAAATGAGGTCCATGAATTCAAAACTGGAATGCTGTTGGGCAATATTGTTATTTTATTGGTTTTACCATTTGTTCTTTCATCTAGAATATTTTTGGCCCCATTACCTTGCCCCACAAATTAAAAACAAATCCAAAATGAAAAATCATGGTAGGCAACAGGGATCTTAAGCAAAAGGAAATTTTTATACATAAAGTAGGCAATAAAATGAGCTGTGATGGTTGATGTACCTAACGAATTAAAACATGATTAGGTCAACCAAAAACAGTGTTTCATAATCAAAGATATCTGATAAAAAGGTACATTAAGCTCGGTTTGAGAAATTTGCTGGTGAAATGCTATGTATGGCCACTACTGTTGTATGGATCATAAATGTGGATACCTTCAGATAATACCAGAAGAAGTTTAGAGGCCTCTTAAATGTGGTATTATAGGAGAATGGTAAAAAACAATTTACACTAACAGGAAAACAATTGAAGACATTCTAAGATTGGCAAAAACATCAAGAGAAATATAAAATTAAAGAATAAGGAAAATGTTATACAGGTACAGGACTGTACTGTACTTTGGTTATAGTTAAGGGAAGAAGGGATAATAGGAAAAATATTAGGGGCAAAAGTTCAGGGTAGAAGGGCCAGGGAAATGCAGGGACTACGACGGATGAATTAAATTAAATGCCGTGTCCCCAGAGAGATAAAAAATCTGAGAGGTTTATGTGTGAAATAAATCTTTCTGGTGAGGTTTCATTATCTAACCTCTGACCCACAAACATTTTTTTTTAATTTCAACTCGTAGATTTCTCTTTCCATGGAATTTTGATGAACTGTACTTTGGTAAATTTCAGACAGCTAGATAGGCATTTAATACCAATTATGTGTATGACTCAGATGCCATTAAAAACCAGCCTGAGAAATGAAAAGTGTAACAGGATTCCTGAAGTATGTGTTGAAAATATATAAGTGGTCATCCCTGAGATTTTGAAGGATACAAGGGTTAAAACACAGATAATTGGATGGGATAGTTTCCCATTGAATCTCGAGTTTGTGTTTACAGTACCATTTTACTGACATATTAAAAAGTATGAATACTACAGTACTGTACTGTAATTGTTGTCAAAATTATTGATAGAAAAAAACTTCCACACTGTGTTTCTAAATTCTTCATAATAATTTATGCCTCTTGTGTCAGGTATCAGTTTCGATGACACATGATCTAAACCAAGCCATCGATAATGCTCCGTATTTAACCAAGTTGCCAGAGAAAGGCTGGGGCTCTGAGCGAATTATGGATGAGGCCACCAAGTATACACAGTATGGTAAGGATACCAACAGTTACTTAAGAAGAGATATTGATATTGTTGAGGGACTTTGATTATCTCATATTAATTGCAGTTGGAAGCATATTTTTTTATAGCATGTATTGCAGTTCTTTTAATCTTAATGTATGGTACATATTATAATTAAATAGAATAATTTTTTACTTTCGTTTGCTTGCTCCCGTTTTTTTCATGACCAATGAGACATTAGCAAGTAACTTGTGAAATCCTTAGTACTAAAACACCCTTTGGCAGAACATGCCCATTACCAAAGGATCAGGACATTTTCAATTACATGGCACACTGTTCAGACTGATAAGGCTGGGTAATGTTTTTACTGCAAGCAGTATGTTTTTGGCTCATTGAATCATAGTAAAAAATTTGACCGCATTTTATATTGTGTTAGTTAACTTAGGGTTTGGTGAGACATTATGTCATGGCCATAATATTAATAATTGGAATTATGTTCACAGGGTTATATTTTATGACATTATCACAATTTTATCACATAACTGGGACTGTACTTCTCTTAAATGACATAAAACCTATAGGAAGCATCATTCAACTGAAACTGCTTCATGAAAAATTCATAACAATTTGGTAATAAACACTTGCACAGGAATGTCCTCCCTTCTGGTCTTGCTGGATCTCTCTGCAGCTTTTGCCATGATGGACCATACTTTTTTAACTTTTATCTTTTATCCTCTTCGCCACTGATCGGCTTGTTAGGCGCTTGGGCGATCGGTCATGTCTCTATTATGCACTGTTAGCAAATACTGGGCATGCACTGGCTCCTGAATATATCGGAACCTGCTCCAGTATTGGTCAAGTCTGGCCTTGAATGAGCTCACACTCGGTGTCGTCACAATGTTCTCTGGCAGATTGTTCAAGAGTTCACAATTTTCACTACGAAAAAGTTTGCCGTCACAGTTTTTTGGACTTGTGGCTTCTTCAACCTTGAGCTGTGACCTCTTGTGTGGCAGATGTCTGCCAGTTCCAGGTATGTACATTCGACCAAGTAGTGCCCCCTGAGATGTCTGTAGTATAAGCTAGGTAGTTGCAGGAGCTCCAATCTCTCTGGGTAATTGAAGCTCCGTAGAGCAGGCACCAGTCTAGTGGCCCTCCTTTGGATATTTTCAATCAATTGACAGTCTCTAGCATACCTCAGTGAGCAAATGGGGTGACAGTACTCCAGACGGGGACGCACCTCACTCTTGAAGTTATAGCAAAGCACAGATTTTGTTGTTTTGTTTCTGATTATTTTGAGAGGTTTTTTCCATTATTATATATTTGTATGTGTCTTGTGTGCAGTGGTGGGTAAGGTTCCGCTAACCGCTAATTAGCGAAGCTAACTTTCTCGTTAGCGGATTACCATTTTCGCTAACTTTGGAAACCATTTGCGGACCAATTAGCTTCCACTAAATTTAGTTCCGCTAACAAAATTTATACATGTTTGTTCCTATCTGTTCTAAGCGTGTGACGCCGCGACGAGTGTCTCCAACAGCCAGTCAGGCATGCTTGGCTGACTGCGTGTTAGTACGTGCAAAGATATCTTTAGGGCCAAGAGAGCCACCTTGTCAAATGGCAGCTTTGAGAGGCTGATGTTTATGAAGGGCTACCAACATCACGTCAAGGCGATGGAGAAGGCCCAGCCACTGCAGCCGGAGTGAATGGAATATTTCGAATATTAAAGTTTAATTAGCATTGAAAAGCCCTAAAAATACTCCAAGCCTCATTAAGGCCACTAATTACCCCCCCCCCCATCGAAATGAGGATCATATATTTGCAATCAGCATGCTCAAGAGTACATATACTGAGATTTTCAGCAAAATCAAATTTTTAGCCAAAAACATAAGTAATTTTTTTACCAAAATATACTTTTCTCTCGGAATTGGAATTTGAGGGGTTTCACCAATTAATTATTTCCAGAAGAACACAAAAACACCAAAATCTCACCTGGGAAACCCATAGTTGGCTAGTAATTAGCATTGAAAAAATC